GTCATCAAAGGCATGATCAATTGGGTATAATGACGTGTTGATCAAGTCAACGAGCCTGACCACCCGATCATGTTAATCGCCTCTTATGACAAGCATGGGTTGCTGAAGACCAATTCTCAGCCGGATCTTCCAGGGTGTAGAGGATGAAGAGTTTCAAAATGTATATCCAACCAGGTGTTAGGTATTTAATGTAAATGGCTAAAAGAGAAATGTTTAAATCTGCGGATTTGCATGTTGACTAATTTTGTCGGGGTACGACCAAGTCACTGAGCCGGATCACATGTCTATCGTATCACCAGCATGAGTTGCTGGGGACCTATTCTAACCAGGACAGGGCCATGGGAGACCACATCCAAGGCATCGTAAATAGATGAGCAGAGTAGCGTCCCCCTGGCAGCCAGAAACCCATGGTCGTGGGTTCGAATCCCAGGTCCCCAGGATTATGTTTACTGGCTTGTGAGAGCCATCCACTACTCATCTCGCATTTCGCTGGCTCACCTTCGATACTGTTCAAAGCTGTTAAACCCTTTTCTTATCCGGAATTTCGCGGTGAGGTAAACCATCCGTCTAACTTCCCCGTATGGGTACAGTGAGCGAAACCCATTTCTGGTGTCCCTCGTCGTGATATTGCTCCCTCCCTCACTCACTCATTCACTCGCTCGCTCATCTAGAATCGTCACTAGGGTGTCCGGGCATCAACCTAGTTCATCTGTGTATATTCCAATCCTGGCCTCAGTAAAGATACAATTGTAGCAGGGATGACGTTTTTAAAGTCCGTAAGGAAGGGACTGCTCAATGTCGTGTTCTGCACCGCAACATGCTTCTCCCGATGGGTACAGACGGAAAGCCAATTCCCAAGCCACACATTCCTACGCCACGGCTAAATGTGTCGGACACTTCGGCTGAGTTGTCTCAGTCCCCTCTGGAGTTATCCTCGTCCGATCTGGATGTTGGAATTTTCGACACTACAGAGGCTGACACTTCCGCAACTCAGCAGCCAGACACATCCCTGCTGCTTCAGGATCAGCGCAGTCAGCCTTTGCCATTGACACCACCTACACCAGCACCGAGAAGGAATCGCCCAGCTCACTCTAACTTGACTGAACCTGAATCGGGTCCCACTTTGGTGCGTCGGCCAACACGTCCACGTTTGAAACCGAACTGGATGAGGGACGGTCAGTGGGAGGTCAAGCAGAATGCTGTCTGGGTCTAACCAGTTTTCCCCAAGTTACAAGTTACCAGTTATTTCTGCTATTCACATGATCTAATCAGACAGATTTAGTATTAATGTCGAGGACGCCATTTCCCAAAGGGAGGTGAATGTAGCAGGGATAACTGACTTGACCTTTTGTATATATCGTATTTTTTCTTTACTTAATTGTATGTTCATCTTTTATCAAGATTCCATTTGTTGCATCAGCCATCTTTCATATCATTATCTGTTAAATGTCCATTTGTTATATGTTGTCCGTGTTTGCCGCTGAACGCCGCCTCTTAATTGTCACATTTTCATCTGTTTCCTGGAGCCTTGTCAACAAGAATTTCCCTTCACCTCTGTTCTATTTTTCTGATTCAGTACCCATCCTCTGGGCTTTCCCTATTCTATTTATAAGTCACATCAAAGGCTGCCTTTGATGTGTTATCTTTCCTCTAATTGACTATTGTGTCCCTATGTCTACTTCCTTTGGCATACCTGTCTTCCACCTCACTCCAATTGCTGTTGCTGAGGTGGAAACATCTTTTCTTTCTTCAGGTATGGCCATTTTCTAATCCTTTTCCATCTGCCTCAATTTCATCTTAACTTCTATACAAACGAGGGGAGAAGTGTGTAACTCTTGGTGGTTGCTATATAGAAAGGGACTAATAACTGTGCCAAGTTTCGTTCCACTAATTCCACTGCGAGTAGGTCAGGAGAAATCTTTAATGAACACCCCTGGTACATTTATAGATTTGTTTTGCAAAAGTTTTTTTTATTACCTTGGCTAACTGTGATAATACTTGTTTACAATGCATAATATTATATTTAATGTTAATTTGATATTGAGTGACTTATTTTAATGACTCCAATTGCTGTTGCTGAGGTGGAACATCTTTTTCTTTCTTCAGGTATGGCCATTTTCTAATCCTTTTCCATCTGCCTCAATTTCATCTTAACTTCTATACAAACGAGGGGAGAAGTGTGTAACTCTTGGTGGTTGCTATGTAGAGAAGGGACTAATAACTGTGCCAAGTTTCGTTCCACTAATTCCACTGCGAGTGGTCAGGAGAAATCTTTAATGAACACCCTGGTACATTTATAGATTTGTTTTGCAAAAAGTTTTTTATTACCTTGGCTAACTGTGATAATACTTGTTTACAATGCATAATATTATATTTAATGTTAATTTGATATTGAGTGACTTATTTTAATGACTCAATTGCTGTTGCTGAGGTGGAACATCTTTTCTTTCTTCAGGTATGGCCATTTTCTAATCCTTTTCCATCTGCCTCCAATTTCATCTTAACTTCTATACAAACGAGGGAGAGGTGTGTAACTCTTGGTGGTTGCTATGTAGAAAGGGACTAATAACTGTGCCAAGTTTCGTTCCACTAATTCCACTGCGAGTAGGTCAGGAGAAATCTTTAATGAACACCCCTGGTACATTTATAGATTTGTTTTGCAAAAGTTTTTATTACCTTGGCTAACTGTGATAATACTTGTTTTTACAATGCATAATATTATATTTAATGTTAATTTGATATTGAGTGACTTATTTTAATGACTCCAATTGCTGTTGCTGAGGTGGAACATCTTTTCTTTCTTCAGGTATGGCCATTTTCTAATCCTTTTCCATCTGCCTCAATTTCATCTTAACTTCTATACAAACGAGGGGAGAAGTGTGTAACTCTTGGTGGTTGCTATGTAGAAAGGGACTAATAACTGTGCCAAGTTTCGTTCCACTAATTCCACTGCGAGTAGGTCAGGAGAAATCTTTAATGAACACCCCTGGTACATTTATAGATTTGTTTTGCAAAAAGTTTTTTATTACCTTGGCTAACTGTGATAATGCTTGTTTTACAATGCATAATATTATATTTAATGTTAATTTGATATTGAGTGACTTATTTTAATGACTCAATTGCTGTTGCTGAGGTGGAACATCTTTTCTTTCTTCAGGTATGGCCATTTTCTAATCCTTTTTCCATCTGCCTCAATTTCATCTTAACTTCTATACAAACGAGGGGAGAAGTGTGTAACTCTTGGTGGTTGCTATGTAGAAAGGGACTAATAACTGTGCCAAGTTTCGTTCCACTAATTCCACTGCGAGTAGGTCAGGAGAAATCTTTAATGAACACCCCTGGTACATTTATAGATTTGTTTTGCAAAAAGTTTTTTTATTACCTTGGCTAACTGTGATAATACTTGTTTACAATGCATAATATTATATTTAATGTTAATTTGATATTGAGTGACTTATTTTAATGACTCCAATTGCTGTTGCTGAGGTGGAACATCTTTTCTTTCTTCAGGTATGGCCATTTTCTAATCCTTTTCCATCTGCCTCAATTTCATCTTAACTTCTATACAAACGAGGGGAGAAGTGTGTAACTCTTGGTGGTTGCTATGTAGAAAGGGACTAATAACTGTGCCAAGTTTCGTTCCACTAATTCCACTGCGAGTAGGTCAGGAGACATCTTTAATGAACACCCCTGGTACATTTATAGATTTGTTTTGCAAAAAGTTTTTTTATTACCTTGGCTAACTGTGATAATACTTGTTTACAATGCATAATATTATATTTAATGTTAATTTGATATTGAGTGACTTATTTTAATGACTCCAATTGCTGTTGCTGAGGTGGAACATCTTTTCTTTCTTCAAGGTATGGCCATTTTCTAATCCTTTTCCATCTGCCTCAATTTCATCTTAACTTCTATACAAACGAGGGAGAAGTGTGTAACTCTTGGTGGTTGCTATGTAGAAAGGACTAATAACTGTGCCAAGTTTCGTTCCACTAATTCCACTGCGAGAGTAGGTCAGGAGAAATCTTTAATGAACACCCCTGGTACATTTATAGATTTGTTTTGCAAAAGGTTTTTTTATTACCTTGGCTAACTGTGATAATACTTGTTTACAATGCATAATATTATATTTAATGTTAATTTGATATTGAGTGACTTATTTTAATGACTCCAATTGCTGTTGCTGAGGTGGAACATCTTTTCTTTCTTCAGGTATGGCCATTTTCTAATCCTTTTCCATCTGCCTCAATTTCATCTTAACTTCTATACAAACGAGGGGAGAAGTGTGTAACTCTTGGTGGTTGCTATGTAGAAAGGGACTAATAACTGTGCCAAGTTTCGTTCCACTAATTCCACTGCGAGTAGGTCAGGAGAAATCTTTAATGAACACCCCTGGTACATTTATAGATTTGTTTTGCAAAAAGTTTTTTTATTACCTTGGCTAACTGTGATAATACTTGTTTACAATGCATAATATTATATTTAATGTTAATTTGATATTGAGTGACTTATTTTAATGACTCCAATTGCTGTTGCTGAGGTGGTACATCTTTTCTTTCTTCCGATACCTCAGCAACAGCCTCATAATAAACTCATAACATCATCACCATTGTTATGTCTTGTACTGCCGAAATTCCCAGGCGACCTCGGCTACACAATGTTCATCAAAAGATATGCACACGCACAGTACGTATCTCCTCTTTCAAGGAATACACAAGTAGTTACAAGAAACAGGTGTAAGTAAGGGGAACAAGGTCGAGTCAAACACATTCCCGAGGAAAGACGCGACAAACTTCCACGAAGAACAGGCTTGCATTCATTGTCCCGCTGCTTGTATTTACGTTTCACCGACTGCGAATACGAGGTCACATTGTCGTTTCGGTGGAGTTTTGTCCATTGTAAATACCCAAGCTCGTTCATGCGTCTCTAAGAATCATACTTCACGGCAGCAGTTACGTCCCTTAGGCGTCATTAAAACAATCACGATGGTTCTAATGTATTGCAGATTTGTTCGAGTTATAACTTTACCTATACCTTTCTTCGTTGTTCTAGCTTGGGATGATCTGAAACACTGGAAGTTAACATGTATATTGTACCATACAACAGTGATTTGTACAGGTGGCACAGAAGATAGACACTGTTCTACTCGACGAGGAGACAAGCAAGACGGATTAACCCTTGACAGGTAAGGAAACAGTTTTGTCCAATGGCCGGCACAATCACATAATTGTTAGCTGCACCATGAGTCATTATCGTTCACAGCAATGCCTCAACGCATGCGCCATGCAGTCACATATTTACCTGTTACAGTGTTTTTTTGTCCGTAATATTCTGTCCTTTACAACAGAGGGGGTTGACGTTATAGGAAGTAGGGAGGGCGAAGGGTGACGGGTGTATCATGGGGTGGTCACCCAAGTAATTTGTAGTCTCGAGGCGGAAGGAGGGGGTCGGTATAAAGAATACACATATTTGGGGTGGATGATGACAATTATGTTGAAGGGAAAGGGACGAGCAAAATATGACAAGTGTTGGGGGGTGGTTATTGAGTCAGTACCTTCAGTACATTAGTACTTGAAATACCCCTCTCAGACCGCCCTTGTAACAAATCACTTGTGAAGTTGTTGTCACGCTCTATCTCGAGTCCGGCCAAGTGTGTGCACGAGCAGTATGGGTGCTATGACGTGTACCACCGATAATACAATCATCGGGATATATATACGTTATATCATTCTCCATCTTCGGAACAGGGGCGGTGGGGTAGTCTAGTGGTTAAAGCGTTCGCTCATTACGCCGAAGACCCGGGCTCGATTCCCCACATACAATGTGTGAAGCCCTTTTCTGGTGTCCCCCCGCTGTGATATAGCTGGAATATTGCTAAAAGCGGCATAAAACTTAACTCACTCACTCACTGGCCAGTGTAATTCAGCACTTGCTGAAGAGTTACATCCTTTCAGTTGGACACATTCCAACTCTATTCACGCACAGCACAGCTCGTTGCTTTACCCCCCGTGTCAACTAATCACCTGTATAGACGGGACTTCTCTGTGGATGTATTGACGGGTCACTGAACCGAGGCTGGTCAGTTGTTAATCTCCCCCTAGGGAGTCTGGGTCTGAACACATCACCAGATTCCCACGCTTGTTATAAGTGAGTGAGTTTAGATTTACACTGCTTTTATCAATATTCCAGCAATACCACTGTGGGGGGACATCAGAAATGGGCTTCACACATTTAACCCATGTGGGGAATCGAACCCGGGTCTTCAGCCTGACGAGCGACCGATTTAACCACTAGGCTACCCCACCGCCCTAGGCTTGTCATAAAAGCCGACTATATGTAATGGTCATCGCTGAAGGTGCTACTCTACCCCGACAGAGAGCAGCTTTGCCAGTTTCTGGTTTGCCTGGTCCAATATTTACTGGGTGTTTCATGTTGTTGGAATAAAGCTTACCTGACCTCACGTGTCATGACCTTCACATTTGACATAGATATCCTATCAGTCAAAAGTAACTCCAATGTCTATTGTGTTACTATATCATACTCGATGATCCAGTATATCATATCTCCATTCTGTATAATGATAAGTACCCTGGACCCATTCGCTTCTTTTTGGAAATGACGTCACAGCTTCCACTCTTTACTTCTTGGAGTGAGTGAGTTTTAGTTTTACGCAGCTTTTAGCAATGTTCCAGCAATACCATGGCGGTGGACCCCAGGAACTACACCGCCCCTCGTCTTCTTGGAACATATGTTTTTTCAGCTCTTGAGCTTGAAATCACTAATCAATCAAATGCGCCGAACGCAACATAAATTAACATCGATACTTCGTCCAAGCAATCTCTCGAATATAAATACGAATAAGATGACCCTTTAGCTGAAATAATACATCTTCTGTATTTTAGGGCAGACGTTCTGCTATAAGAAACCCCGATAACATTTGAGGCGGCACGGAAAAGCCAGTTGAGTCCTTATCCAGGATATCACACACTGCACTTTATCCAGGATATCTCACACTGCACCTTATCCAGGATATCTCACACTGCACCTTATCCAGGATATCTCACACTGAACCTTATCCAGGATATCTCACACTGCACCTTATCCAGGATATTTCTCACTGCACCTTATCCAGGATATCTCTCACTGCACCTTATCCAGGATATCTCACGCTGCTCCTTATCCAGGATATCTCACACTAAACCTTATCCAGGATATCTCACACTAAACCTTATCCAGGATATCTCTCACTGCACCTTATCCAGGATATCTCACACTGCACCTTATCCAGGATATTTCAAACTTCACCTTATCCAGGATATCTCCCACTGCACCTTATCCAGGATATCTCACACTGCACCTTATCCAGGATATCTCACGCTGCTCCTTATCCAGGATATCTCACACTGCACTTTATCCAGGATATCTCACACTGCACCTTATCCAGGATATCTCTCACTGAACCTTATCCAGGATATCTCACACTGCACCTTATCCAGGATATCTCACACTGCACCTTATCCAGGATATCTCACACTGCACCTTATCCAGGATATATCTCACTGCTCCTTATCCAGGATATCTCACACTGCACCTTATCCAGGATATCTCACACTGAACCTTATCCAGGATATCTCACACTGAACTTTATCCAGGATATCTCACACTGCACCTTATCCAGGATATCTCACACTGAACCTTATCCAGGATATCTCACACTGCATCTTATCCAGGATATCTCACACTGCACGTTATCCAGGATATCTCACACTGAACCTTAATCCGGATATCTCTCACTGCACCTTATGCAGGATATCTCATACTTAACCTTATCCAGGATATCTCACACTGAACCTTATCCAGGATATCTCACACTGCATCTTATCCAGGATATCTCACACTGCACCTTATCCAGGATATCTCACACTGAACCTTAATCCGGATATCTCTCACTGCACCTTATGCAGGATATCTCACACTTAACCTTATCCAGGATATCTCACACTGAACCTGATCCAGGATATCTCACACTGCACTTTATCCAGGATATCTCACACTGCAGCCTATCCAGGATATCTCTCACTGCACCTTATCCAGGATATCTCACACTGCACCTTATCCAGATATCTCACACTGCACCTTATCCAGGATATCTCACACTGCACCTTATCCAGGATATCTCACACTGCACCTTATCCAGGATATCTCACACTGAACCTTATCCAGGATATCTCACACTGAACCTTATCCAGGATATCTCACACTGAACCTTATCCAGGATATCTCACACTGCACCTTATCCAGGATATCTCTCACTGCACCTTATCCAGGATATCTCACACTGCACCTTATCCAGGATATCTCTCACTGCACCTTATCCAGGATATCTCACACTGCACCTTATCCAGAATATCTCACACTGCACCTTATCCAGGATATCTCACGCTGCTCCTTATCCAGGATATCTCACACTAAACCTTATCCAGGATATCTCTCACTGCACCTTATCCAGGATATCTCACACTGAACCTTATCCAGGATATCTCTCACTGCCTTATCCAGGATATCTCACACTGCACCTTATCCAGGATATGTCACGCTGCACCTTATCCAGGATATCTCACACTGCACCTTATCCAGGATATCTCACACTGAACCTTATTCATGGCCTGACTGACTCTTACATAACTGTTCTAAATATACCTTCATCCATTTGGCCTCCCAGTCCCTCATATCTTGCTTTATCTACAAACATTAACTCAGCAAAAACTTAAAAACTCTTTCAGAAGAAAGAGCGAATTATAAGTGTGAAAACACACTTTAGATAGCAACGCCGCATCAGCCCAATGGATCTTGAGCAGATTTCTATTCTAGACGTTGTAGTTAGTGTGTGTCTTAAAACTTTGACACTATGTTGATGCGAGTGGGATAAGAGTTAACTACTAGATGATGTCAGTCATGATACTAATAGTCAAAGTATGTTCTGCTTACCCTGTGTTAGAATTGTCCAGGAAGAAAGTGACGGTCGCACATTTACCTTATCTGCCAAACGAACTCGTATAGACTAACAACTAGTCTCTGAAATGAACATATTTTACTGAAAAAAGTTCATAGTAAAAAAAATATAATGAAAAGGAGCCCTGGGACTTTCTTCTTGCGTGGGATTTCTTGGATATATTTGCTTCAGGGTCTGTACGACAGACTAGAACTCGTACAGCTTACCGATTTATTTGTGCAATATTGACTCACCGTTCTTGTTCCCTCACAGATACCATGGGTTCTGTTAACACAACACTCACCTCGGAAGACAAGGATGAACACGGATGCGACTATTTCGCAAGCTTTGATCACTTTCCCTATTCGGAAACATCCCACGAATCCTTCTACCTCGGTCGCTACTCCCGTGAAGGCAAATACAGCTACAAACACGACGACCTGTGTCGCATCAGGGCCAAGAAACACAAGGTAGGACGCCGTCGTCACTGGGAGTGCAATGTAAGGATTGGTCAGGTGGCTCAGGAGGTCGCCAAGGACTTTAACAAGGTGGTGGTCAAGCAGAAGGACAAGATCATCATCTCAGTCCCCATCCGAGCCGAAATGTCCACCGTGTTCAACGAATGGTCGCCGGTTGGGCTGTGCATGAAATGTTGCAGTCACCACGAGAAGAAGCTTGTGGTTGGGGAGGTCGTCATTCTGGAACCCTACTTCAGCAGTTATGAGAACGAATACTACAGTGACTCAACAGGGTGTTCTGAGAACGAGAACCTGAGCGAGGAAGACAAGAACATTACACAAGCTTTCTCTCATTACTCATGGGAACACAGTGGTGGTAAGTATGTCATATGTGGACTGAAGGGGAGGAAGATGGACAAGGAGTATTATTTACGTGGCCCGACCGTTCACTCCAACCCAGTGGCCGGCAGGGGCGGAGAAGAGGGCGAGGGGGGTGAGGAGGAAAACGAACACGAGGATTTTGGGGACAAGGATGAAGGGTTGCTTGGAATCCGGAATTTCTTTGTGAATCACGAATGCAACAAACTTTGTGAGAACTTTTCTAAATTATAAACGAAGACGAGTCTCACATGTATACTGACAATTACATTTGGAGAAGCATGAGTTGGTTCGCTGATAAAATATTTTAAACGAGGTGAACGCTTGTTTCAGATTTTCCTCTGAATCATCATATGACATTACCAGTTCCTGTTGTATATAGACGAATTTTATATTTTGTCATCTAAATTCTTGTGTTTCATGGATGTGTTTGTTATTTCTTATTTGATTTACTACCATTAAGCTCACAGCTGATTGACTCATCATACTCTGAGGGCGTGGGTAGATGCCCATGCTTTCAATCACCGGTTTGCCTGGTTTCAGCCTCGAATGTTTCCCATCGGCGTTGTATATCTGAAATCAGTGTATGAAATAAGCCAAAACCCCAGCCAGACATCAGGGCGGGTAACTTCTAAATGTTACGAGTCCAAAATGGATTTAACCAGTCCAGACACCAAGATATGACTCAGATGTATATAACATCTCAATTTTTTACCAGACCGTCGGGCTGGCTAGCTGTAAATCTAGATATGACTCAGATGTATATAACATCTCAATTTTTTACCAGACCGTCGGGCTGGCTAGCTGTAAATCTAGATATGACTCAGATGTATATAACATCTCAATTCTTTACCAGACCGTCGGGCTGGCTAGCTGTAAATCTAGACCGTCCGTCTGAAATCTAACCCGTCTCGGGCGGTCGCACGAAATCTAGATATGACTCAGATGTATATAACAACGAGCCTTATTTCATAACATCCATTTGCACGTTGCCTCTGTTGCCAAAAAGTCCACTACAGACGTGGTAAGCGAAGATTAGGCCATGACCTATTTCATATGCAACTATTTCCATATGGATGCTAACCCGGACCTTCACGGGTCCGCTGTCCAATTGGTCAAGCATTTTTGACTTGTTTGACATGCTTGATCTATTGGACAGCGGACCCGCCAAGATCCGGGTTAGCATTGATCATAGCAGCCGATGCTTGTAAGAAGCGAGTAACGGATCGGGTGGTCAGACTCTTTGTGTCATGTCATCGTACCCCAATTCTTTACAGAGTTTCTTTGAGAGTAGATGCTAACTACGCCATAAAATAACAAACAAACAAATCAATGCCCTAAACAAGTCACCGTGTAGATGTAATATACATGAATACACGTCTTTTTGAATGAACCTGATGACAGGCTGACTGAATATAATTGGGGAGAGGATCTTGCTTGCCTACCTCGGAATCAGTCGTCCACACAATGAACGTGCATTTGTATCATAATGTCTATGTGGATTAACACAGCCTCCCTTGTGATATTGGGGCGGTGGGGTAGCCTAGTGGTTAAAGCGTTCGCTCGTCACGCCGAAGGCCCGGGTTCGATTCCCCACATGGGTAGCCCATTTCTGGTGTTCTCCGCCGTGATATTGCTGGAATATTGCTAAAAACGGCGTAAAACCATACTCAGCCAGTCAGCCCACGTGATGTTAGAAAGATTGACCACATTTCATTTTGTTCTTTTAGGAAAGTGTGTTAGTAGATGTGTCCTACTCGAAAGCATCCAGCGAACATGGATGCGGTATTCATACTCCAAGATAATCTCAGAATCTAGTATTCGAACCCAAGACTAGGGGATCATGGTCACTAAGGGGCACAACTCTGTAAAGCGTGATCCGAGCGAGACAAAACCATCAATTAGAATAATGAGAATTATCCGTTATTCCTCTTATAATGAAGATATTGTGTACACAACTGAGACGTGATCATTCAAAGGACGTTGTCACATAACTGGAATACTGGCAACTGGGGAGTAAACAATACAGGAAAACAATTCGACATTGTTCATACAGCGACAGTCCGATAACTGGAAACCAAAGTGAGAATAACGAAACATGAATAGATCGTCCTTAGATTAAGACACTCGGTTGATAATATCAAACCAGTTTGTTTGGTTGGTTAGTTTGGTGTTTAACGCCGCACTCAGCAAGATTCCAACTCTATTGCGGCGTCAAACCAGGAGACTGATGAGGACGCTACTGCATCCGTGTGTAGTGAGTGAGTCGGGTTTTACGACGCATTTTTAGGTATAACACGACGGGGCACACCAGACATGGGCTTCACACATTGCACCCATTGGGGGAATGAAATCCGGGCCTTCGGCGTGACAAGCAAACGCTTTAACCACCAGCCTACCCTACCGCCCCACTTGCATTTGGTGATAAACAATATACCAAGTTGACAGAGTTCTTATAGCGTATATACATGTCTGACAGCGGCGACCAAATCTATAATCGTCTGCTGTTCATTCATTGTTTTGCGATCGTTAGATAGTTATGAATTGATGTGTTGAACGTATTTTTAGCTTCATTCCTGTGTGACCCAACGTTGGTGTAAAATACCCACGATGTACTATGGCATAGGCAGACGAAATAAACTATTTCATGAGTTGCTACATAGCATGTCACAGCATGTACGAAAAAAACATTGATACAACAAACACGGACCTAGATTTATTTATGGTGGGAACATTCTTCAGTTTCGTCCACTGCGGAACATACACGCAACTGCTGCACATGTGACCTGTTCTCTCTATTTATAATGCAAAGTCATTAGGAAAAACATCGGGTAGGTATGTTTCCCCGGGAAATGTAGCTTCCAGTCTGTTGCTACATACGGCCACTGGACAACGCATCTGGGACGTCGCCTGAAGGTAAGGGAATAACATCAGTAGGATTATTAATCTATAGTAGGATTTACAGACAAGTCACCACTTAGTTAAAGTATTGACAATCGTAGAAGTAGCTGACGGGGTGATTGGCGTTATGCAGTATGCTGCAGTAGTAGTAGTAGATGTAGTTGTGATGGGACATTGACAGAGGTAGTTGTGATAGTAGTTGTAGCAGCAGCAACAGCAGTAGTAGTAGTAGTAGTACAAAAAGTAGTAGTAGTAGTAGCGGTGGTGGTAGTAGTACTAGTACTTGTTGTAGTAGCGGTGGTGGTAGTAGTTCTAGTACTTGTGGTAGTAGTACTAGTACTTGTTGTAGTAGCGGTGGTGGTAGTAGTACTAGTACTTGTTGTAGTAGCGGTGGTGGTAGTAGTACTAGTACTTGTTGTAGTAGCGATTGTGGTAGTAGTAGCGGTGGTAGTGTACCCGCTGAGCGGTGGTGGTAGTTGTAGTAGCGGTGGTGGTGAGTAGTACTAGTACTTGTTGTAGTACTAGTAGCGGTGGTGGTAGTAGTACTAGTACTTGTTGTAGTAGCGGTGGTGGTACTAGTACTTGTAGTACTGGTGTTGTAGTGGTGGTAGTAGCGGTAGTGGTAGTAGTACTAGTACTTGTTGTAGTAGCGGTGGTGGTAGTAGTAGTACTTGTTGTAGTAGCGGTGGTGGTAGTAGTACTAGTACTTGTAGTAGTAGTGGTGGTGGTAGTAGTACTAGTACTTGTTGTAGTAGCGGTGGTGGTAGTAGTACTAGTACTTGTTGTAGTAGCGGTGGTGGTAGTAGTACTAGTACTTGTTGTAGTAGCGGTGTAGTAGTACTAGTACCTAGTAGTGGTGTACTTGTTGTGTAGTAGCGGTGGTAGTAGTAGTACTTGTTGTAGTAGCGGTGGTGGTAGTAGTAGTAGTACCTTGTTGTAGTAGCGGTGGTGGTGGTAGCGGTAATGGTAGTGGCGGTGGTGGTAGTAGTACTAGTACTTGTGGTAGTAGCGGTGGTAGTAGTACTAGTACTTGTTGTAGTAGCGGTGGTGGTAGTAGTACTAGTACTTGTTGTAGTAGCGGTGGTGGTAGTAGTACTAGTACTTGTTGTAGTAGCGGTGGTGGTAGTAGTACTACGTACTAAGGTGTGACCACATGTCTCATGTGCTTCGTTGTGGGGCAGGAACGAAGTCCAAGAAACTTCAGGGAGGTAAGCTGCCAAACACGGTCACCCATCCAAGGACTCTCAGCACCCAACATTGCTTAACTTCACCTGATTGTGACCTGAGCTCTATGCACAGGATCACACGCCACCGCTACAGTTGTAGTTGTTGTAGTTGAGATAGAAGCGCTGTAGTAGTCGCAGTTGTACTAGCAGTAGTAGTAGTAGTAGTAGTAGTAGTAGTAGTAGTAGTAGAAGCAACAGCTGAAGCAGCAAAGCCAGTAATGGCCTCAGTAGTGTCTGCAGTAGAGGTAATATTTGGTATAGAATTGGTAGTGGTAGAAACAGGATCGAGTGTTGTTGTAGAACCAATAATTTAGTAGTTTCAGTTTAAACACAGACTTGGCAAATAACACTATCTGAATACATGGTGTTTTCAGGCAACGTGACAAAGTGATTACCAATCAAAATGCCTCACGATAACGACACTTTCCTAACAAAGGATAGAGATGAGGATGGGTCCAAATATCGAGCTAACTTTGAGCTGTACCCTTATGTGGAGAACCAGGAGTATGCTTTGTTCAAGGGGAAGCTGTTCGGTGAATATGGGGAGAATGGTGCCAGACACGGTGAACTTTGTACCGTGAGGACTTCGATGAACAGTCATCCTCGCTTCCAAGACTGGGGTTCCTACATGATGTGCTCCAAGCAGGCAGCTCTTCTGGCAGCGGAGTTCAACAAGCTGCTGATGCCCAGGACTAAGGTGTCATTTTCCGTTCCTCTTCGAGCTCAGATGGACACTGCCTGGAATGCAAAGTCTTTTATTGGCTTTATCATTCTGGCGTTTTGGCCGCACCGGAAACGTCTAAAGGAGGGCGAGGTTGTAGTGGTTGAAGACTTTCTTGGTAAAACCACGTCTCTTTATATCAGTGATACTGGCTTTGTGGGTCCACAGGAAAGCGACGTTCTGCAAGCATTTGGACACTTCACGTGGAATTTCACCATGGGCAGGCTGGTCATCTGTGGACTACGGGGTGTCAACAGGAAGGGCCACTTCCACCTCAGTGAGCCAACCATCCACTCGGTCCCATCAGGATCTGACACTGATATTGTGCAGGATTATGGACCAAGAGACAAAGGATTGGATGGGATTGCATCTTTTTTCAAATATCATCGTTGCAATGACATTTGCCGGAACATGCCAATGCCGACTGCCTTGAATACATAAATGGTTATCGTGAAGTACATGGCACTGTACATGACAACTTTCTATGGAGGGATGACCTCCTTGGCTAAATCAGAATTCAATTTGTATTATGAAAGGCAATGTGAACCGGATCAGTTTAGAATGTATTCTGGTTATAGCGATCGTTGGTAAAATCTACAAGCAAAAGTATGCTCCTGACAAACTTGAAATGGAATTTGTTTCTATTTGTGTATTTACGCCTACTTCTAGCAGATAGAAGTGTGGAAAGGGGCACAACTCTTGTTCCACCCGTGTCCCTTCTGAAAGGTCCTATGTCCATACATAACCCGACACGGAAGTTACAAGGAGACTGTTTTATCAGTATAGCTAACAATGCTCCCATATTACATTGAGCGAATCGCATTTAATGACTCAGACTGCCACACACCACCAATACAACGAATGCATATCATTTACCGTATTTCCCCTAATAACCGCCGGGTTTAAAGCAGTGGTTTAAGATATAATTAATTACACCCAGTAAGCGCAATAAGCGTCGGGTCTGGAAGTCCGTGAAAAAAATAAGCACCCGGACAGCTGGAGCTAGCGTCATCCGTATGTTTTACGTGTCTCCATACTCAACCATCAAGAAAGCGGGCGGTGGAAAACACAAGGTATTTGTGTAATAGTCTTTAAATTAATTTATGATGTTAATCGAGACGCATTGCATCGGAAATATTTTTTGAATATATGTAGATGAAGAAAGGTAGAACTGAATTGGTTTTAGTATGAGTGACGAAGGTTAATCACATTAGGGCATAAGTTTCCACAGCGGTGGGAAAAAATTGAGACAAGAAAACGTTTTTTTATTAGAAATACGATGACGCTATTATCTCCATGGTTACTCATTCCACATTTCACCCGTGAAGATCTGGGTTAAAACCGGATCTTCAGTAACCCATGCTTGTCGTAAGAGGCAACTAACGGAATAGGGTGGTTGACTTGGTTGACACATGTCATCGTATCCCAACTGCGTAGATAGATGTCCAAGCCGTTGATCACTGGATTGTCTGGTCCAGACTCGATTATTTACAGACCGCCACCATATATATAGCTGGAATATTGCTGAGTGCTAGCTCACTCACTCACTTTTCATATTTATTCCCTTAACAATACCTTTTTGATCATCATCTAGTATTAAAGGAAAAACTATTTTCATATTTCATAGATTTTATGTTATCTTATGGGAAGTGTGTAATAAAAATATTGGTCGCTAATTTTATATATATATATATATATATTTTAGATTTGTTTTCTTTTGCAAGACAGGTTATTATTAAACCTTGTTTGTATGCACAATTAAGAGCATTAATAAGTATTTCCCCATGTGATTTCCAATGAAATTTCTGCTGTAAGGGCCTCGACTATTTTCACTTTTCATACTTTCCAGTGCAAAAGGAGTTTCATCATGTGTTATTTCGCCTTTTCAGTGTACAGTATTATTTTCAGATAATTTGGGTGAAGAAACGAAGGTTTTGTAAATCAATCACTGTATATTCTTCATTGGAATATAATTTTGAGTTCCTTTTGGTACCATCCATTATTTCTTGTTTCTTAATTATTTTCTCATCATTTGTCTACATTTCTACGATTGAGATATATATATATATATATATATATATATATATATATATATATATATATATATATATATAGAAAGTGATGAGAATACCGAGCGTACAGTAGTACATATATAAGAGAAGAAGTTTCTGAAATAATTACACAACACGGATCCGTGTTGTTTAATTATTTCAGAAACTTATATATATATATATATATATATATATATATACATATATTTCAAGACTCCAGATGTCAAGGGTTTAGTGAGCTGGTCCTCTTCTTTAATACAATGTTGCTTTTGATAAAATAACCAATCCCTTTGTTTTATCTTACGGGTTTGACCTTACCGAGTCAATTTTTATGTTGTTTAACGCCTTCAGTATATTCTTTTTCCATCTAAATATTTAAGAACTTTCCGATATCATTCAGCTTATTTTCGTGTGTTTTTCTCTTAGTTTCATCTCTTTCTCTCTTTTTTGTTGTTGCTGAATAGTTAATTGCCATCTCTCTCATTGCAAGTGGCAGAATTTCATTTTCATTATTTAGCAATAAAATATAATATAAAAATATAATATTATAATGTAAATAAATGCATTAACCGACATTTGTCTCTCTTTATCGTTTTGCATTAATGTAGATTATATTGTAGATTTTACTAATAAGTACTAAATATTATTAATTATTTATATTATTCTTTATCGCATAGTTATGAACTATGCAATTTCCAGAACCACGTGACATAGATACGGTCAGGGAGATAATGGGTTGATCATGTATAGACTGATCTCAAATTGAGGACATTACAAGAAATCCAGTTTCGCCTGTTTCAGCGATCTCACCAAGTATATCGTTTTTATGTGCACTGGATTCTCTCCGTTGTTCTTTAAAGTCTTATATCTGTACAGGCACCATTACTCACTTACCGTGTTTTACTGCACAAATGTACATGAATAAAATGGATAATAAAGAAATTATTACACTCGTACGTGTGCCACACGACGTATACGAAGCTCGTGCAAAATTGTGTATTGGCCCGCTCTCGCTCGGGCAATACAAACTTTCACACTCGTTTCGTATATGTCGTATTACACACTTGCTCGTGTTATAATCTCTCTATACAACACTTGCTGGAAACATCATGTTGGACGTGTAGGGACAAAGTGATTACCTATCCAAATGCCTCATGATAACGACACTTTCCTGACAAAGGATAGAGATGAGGATGGGTCCAAGCTAATATAAGTACCCTTGTGTGGAAAACCAGGAGTATACTTTGTTCAAGGGGAAACTGTTCGGTGAATATGGGGAGAATGGTGCCAGACACAGAGAATGGTGCCAGACTTTGTACCGTAAGAATCTTGATGAACAGTCTTCCTCGCTTCCAAGACTGGGGTTCATACATGCAGCTCTTCTGGCAGCGGAGTTCAACATCAACCCATCCTGTGATATTGCCGATTAGAAAACAGAAGAGACACGACACTTGGGTGTTACATTCTGCCTTCCACTTACTCCTTAAGCTATACCTATGGTGGCTCATTCGGGCCATCGCTTTATCGCCCTGAAGAAATCTAGGCGATATCGCGACAAAGCGATAGTACGACACGATATTGCGATATGGCGACACGATATAGCGATATTGCGATATAGCCAAAGACGAAATAGCGATAACACGACACGACATGACGATAACAAGACACGACATAGCGATAACAAGACACGAAATGGCAACAACTCGACACGACATTGCGATAACACGACACGAAATGGCGACAACACGACACGAAATGGCGATAACACGACACGAAATGGCGATAAGAAAGAAGCGATATAGCGATAACGCGAAAAGGCGATATTGCGATATGGCGACGCGATATTGCGATACAGCGACATTGCGATATGGCGATACAGCGATATGGCGATATGTAGAAAAGCGGGTAGGTTGATTCATTCTCAGGATTCAATAATAAGATAGCGGGAAGTATGTGAGATAAAGATGCACTTGATGCCTGGCATAGATATATAAAGGGATATGTAGTGAATCATATCAACATAAACGACATTGTTATGCAACCTCTCTGGTTAAATCACCAGTTTCGCAACACATATTTGATAATCAATAACTGGTTCAAACAAGGAATTGTTAATATTAAAGACATTTTCAATGACTAAGAGTTACTCTCATTTGCAGAACTTAAAACAAAATTTGATATTAAGGGCACAGTACTTGACATAAATCGTGTCATCGTCAGTATTCCCCCAAAATGGAAAGAAGTCATTCAAACTGCTGGACACCCAAAACATAACAAAGGTATCGATAAGTTCCCCATGGAATGATCTTATTATACCGACTACAGGATATAGATTAGTTTACGAGTCTCATATCGAAATCCAATTTTCCAAACGTATGCGATAAATGGGAAAGTGAAGTAAACGATCATATCGATTGGAAGACCATATTTGTGCAATATAGACTAACCATTAAAGACCCAAAGCTTTTTGGATTTTCAATACAAATTTATTAATAGAGTTATTTATACATTAAAATGAAACTAGTTGATAATGACATATGTATATCGTGTGACGTAAGTGTGAATATTTATCATGTATATATTGAAAGTCCCATCATTAGATTATTCTGGAAAGAATTCACCGGTTTTGTTAATTGTGTCTTGCACAGAACATTCGTACTCTCAGCTCAAGATATACTATTTTGTGCGAATAGCCACCCTTGCTCAACCACATGATCATACTAGCCAAGCGCCACATTTTGTCAGGAATATCAAGGGTGTGAAACCAAGTTTCACCACATATAAAGGTTATTAAAAGATGTGTATGACATTGAGAAATATATTGCCAGAAACAATTTCAATATGAATTTATTTGAGAGAAAATGGATTAGGCTCCAAAATGTTCTGTGATTATGACAATGAAATAGTTCTACTCAAGTGTATCTGCGCTTGTTCCAGTTTTACATATTTATTTCCCAGTGAAATTGAAACAAAGTGACATGCCATTTCATAAGATATCATTACAAAACTATGTCCCGGATTGTTTCATACAAAGTGAATCCAAGTGAAGTGAATAAAAAATGTGAAAAATAGTATGTGAGATAAACGCATTCGTAAAACCGCCCATTCTACTGAAATAGCTCATCCAAAAGCACAATGAGAGATGCCATATTCCAAACTGTGATACTTGTCCATGTCAAGATCCTGAGAATTCTGTAGGCTATAAGAGTTCATCAGAATAGATTTGGGCTCTTACGGTGCCTGATCGATCTGCCTAATCTTATGGGAAATCGATCTCTGAAGTGTCTACTTTTAAGAATGGTGGCTGCTTATCAAGAAAGGAAACTATCATTATAAACGAAAAGTTCTAGAATACTTTTCTTCTTCTATCTATAAATAAGTAAACAATACATTGCACACCAAAATAAATTTCAGTAGGTACAGTGGAAACTGTATAATCCGACACTCACTGGGACCGGGGGAACTTGTCGAATTATTTAGCGTATCGGATAATTCACTGTCTCGTTGCTTGAATACTTTTCAAACAGTACCATACATTGTAACTGGCTTCATGAAATTAATGTTTGATAGCTATTTACTCGGTGAATAAAGGGAAAAAAACTAAATCAGTATTTACATACACATGTATCATTGGTATTTATTCTCTTCAGTACAATGTACATACCATGCGGACTACCCAATCACAATCATATTCACACTTTCATGAAAAAATCCTCCATTGTAGCCATTGACAGGTTGAATGGCTATTTTAGTCTAATATGGGAGAGGATGTCGGATTGTACAGCGTGATAGTGTCATTGTAACCAGAAAATGGTGTCGGAATTCTGAATGTACAGATGTCAGATAATTCAATATTAATATGATGATAATATAGAAGAACGCTGCCGGGGCCCAAAATATATGTCGGAATACACAGATTGTCGGATAATTCAGAGTCCACTGTATAGTAAATCAATCTAAGAGTTTTGACTATTATTGTTGGCAATTTGGCGGGATGTAGGTTTTGAAGGGGATATACAGTAGTTCGTGTATTCCTGAGTTAAGTCACCCGTGAAGGTCCGGGATAGAGTTGATCTTCAGTAACCCAATCTTGTCTTAGAGGCGACTAACGGGATCGGGTAGTCAGGCTCGCTGGCTTGGGCGACACATGTCATCGGTTCCCAATTGCGCAGATCGATGCTCATGCTGTTGATCACTGGATTGTCTGGTCCAGACTCGATTATTTACAGACTGCCACCATATAGCTGGAATAGTGCTGAGTGCGGCGTAAAACAAAACTCACTAAGTTAAGTAAAAGTAGTATATCTAAATCTTTACAGTGCAGTTAAAAGCAAAGCCATGTGTAGGCCAGCAGCAAATGGCCGGTTGGCCACGGAAGCTTAATATTGTGGATGGGGTACTGGGTACTGCAGACTGACCATACATGTACTGTACATACGATACAATTGCTGTACTATCATGTAATTGCATATTTGACGCCGAATAAAGTGTTGTGGACCCGGCTTAGGAACTTCTGGCTGTGTTTGAGGAGACAGATAGCCGAACTAAACAGCCCGGGATACAATGTTACACATGATTGGATTAAAGTATTTGATTTCAAAAGTAGGTCCAATTCATATATTCTTATCAGATTTGTTGAGGGCAAGAGCATTAGGATTTTACTGGAAAGATACATGTACTGTCATTTTTTATATCAGTTCAAACTGCACACACTGCAATTTTGAAATATATACCCCAATGTATTAGGCGCGTTCCGCAGCACACTGAACCTGCGACCCACTGCATTTTATAGATTGGGTGAAGCACGTGCTTTACATGTGCATTCTAGCATGATCGACTTTTTTGAGCTAAAAGTTTTAAAATTGTCCTTAGTTTCAGGTTGTGGCAATTAACGCTCATGTGTATATTTAGTTACACACGTATACTTGCTACAGATGTTCATAAAGGCGTTTAACATGGGCCTTAAAAGACATGTACATCTCAAAACGGCATGGCAGTTTACCCAATTCTAGAAAAAGCTGAATAGTACACTTTATTTTAAAAAAGCAGAACCTTATCTTTCACAAAGTAAGAGTAACACTTTCTCGATTTGGCTGTAGATCATACGATGGTTTTAAAGATAAGACAATGATAAATTTGTACAATAACGAACTTTTACTTCGTGTTGTATGTATTAAGATCGAATATAATCAGCCAAATGATATGCTAGTAATGACAATTTAAAGAAAACCGGTAAATAAGTCAAACATTTTTACATTTAGTGTAATTTTCAACACTTTTGGATGGAACAGTGATTCCATTCGCCGACGTTGTTCCATCGTGCTTTACTTAGTGATGATATGACGCCGAAGTTGCTATAAGAGATCTAGTCTTAAATAATAAAAACCACCCCACCTTTTAGTGCTTCGTCGATCATGTGTGTTTCTTTCTGTTTGTATTATTCGGCTGTTGCTGCATTTTGATGATTCAGACGATGAGTTACACAATAGCACCATATTTATGATGGGTATGCGTAGAAGATTACTATTGCATAAAATCCATTTGCATACACCGAATATTATCATTACGTGAAATCCTAGAAAGTTTTGCTTTCTCACTTAAACTAATACGAGACTAATTCAAATACAACATGGACGCATCACACAGATACACATAAGTACATACCACATACACAAAACTCATATAAAGATGAATATATCGCTTTATCGCCGTATCGCTGTTTCGCATTATCGCAATTTCGCTTTATCGCAGTATCGCTATATCGTCATATCGTTATGTCGCACTATCGCCGTGTCGCTTGTTTATATCGCATTATCGCCGTATCGCTATATCGCAATATCGCTGTTTCGCCATTTCGTGTCGTGTTATCGCCATTTCGTGTCGTGTTATCGCCATTTCGTGTCGTGTTATCGCAATGTCGTGTCGAGTTATCGCAATGTCGTGTCTTGCTATCGCCATATCGTGTCTTGCTATCGCCATATCGTGTCGTGTTATCGCTATTTCGTTTTTTGGGCTGTATCGCAATATCGCTATATCGTGTCGCCATATCGCAATATCGTGTCGTGCTATCGCTTTGTCGCAATATCGCCTAGATTTTTCAGGGCGATAAAGCGATGGCCCGAATGTTTGCGTGTTCATGACAAAATGGGGTTTTGGTTTAAAATCGTTGTTACATTGCATTGTGTAATTTGTATCAAAACTTACTTAGTGTAGATCTAAGTCGGGTAGTGAAATTAGCTACTGTTCAATACAACATTTTCAAAGACACGCTCATGACTAAGGCGTATTTTACGGACGCTTCTAATAGTAGTGCGCGCAGGTCTCCGTGAGATAAATAACTGTCAAGCTTGATCTCCGTATCAGCCGTCCCTTCCTTACGATCGGTTACGTAAATAGACGAAACACAATGACGCAAAACATATTTAATAGATATGTGAAAATTCATGTACAAACATGCATGACAGTAAATGTGTAAACGAATAAATAGTTTCACTAAACAAAACAAACGTTTAACGTGTATAAATTCCAAGATGCAATGACCATCTGATCTCACGTCTCTGTATCCGCCATCGTGTTCATCACGATCTTCGGCAGATTGGTGGGGAACATACGCTTTTGATAGTAGTCAATGTCGCCCTATTTAGGATTTAATACCTTCGACTGGTCATTAATATCGCTATGTCCTGATGTCTGTTCTTCAGGTCTTCAACAAATATGTAATACGTAAACATAAAACAAAAACACATTCCACCATAATTCCTTTGGACCCATATCTTGCAGATGCTGCTGCTGATGATAATAACGACATTTTGAGAAGAATAATTTTCTGGTCCCACCACTACTCTGACGAACAATATAAATTAGGGTCTCTAATAAATATAAAATAATATAACATACAATAAATAACTAATTTAAAAAAACGAATAGTGAAAACATAAATTATTGCACGAAAACCATAAAATGTTGGTTTTAGATATTCATAGTTTCGTTTTGATTTGCGTATATAATTTTCACATTAATTACAATAATTTTATTTATTCAACATTTCGAACAAAACATGGTCGTGGATGACATATGTATTTATGTGAGATGGAATTATGCAAATATATGGTATAAAATATTGGAGAAAACTTTTCAAAATGCTGAATGACATTCAAAGATATAAAAACGTGAACTTTGAAATGTGAAATATCGAAGAAAATAAGAATAAACATTATGAACAGTCGATGTCATGAGCAATGAACACAATAATTAACTAAAATATTGTACAAACATTATGAAAATTACACGAGAGGTACACCATCAGCTAATACTTGCAGAACCATCGCCATTGTGAACAGTTGTAAAACAATATGATAATGTAATGTAGTTCTATAAAACTATTAAACTTAATTTTCAAAATCAACTAGCCTTACATCGCAGTGGTCCCACTCGTGATTTAGTCTATGAACTAATGCACTAATACGTAAATAGTAATTCAACAAAGTTAACATGATGTTTGTCACTGGGATTGAGAAAACTAAACTAGTATTGAAACACTCGTAACCCTATAGGCATACCCATCCTCTCTTATATCACAGTGAGTGTTCTGGACTAGCCCAACTAATTAACACAAGCTTACACTATCACAAAGCGAAACCCCGTTAATCCGGATCGTGTCCTTTAATATCGGCCGGATAAACGAAATAGGGCCCCGACTACTTTGCCGTTGACATAGGATTCGGATTAACGAGTTTCACTATAGGGAATATCTGCATCTATAGTTGCCGCAGCAGCGTAGAATAAATATAGAATGCTTGACATAAACATGTGAAGCTAGCAGGCTTCAGTTTGACATATGGAACTTGAATAAACTCTAAAACAGCAAACAACTTAAACATAAATATGAATAATTAACTAATACTTAACGTGACGTCATGAACGCATCGATACATGAACAGATCTTCCTTAAAAACAGGTCATCGAGTATCAATAAAGTACTTCCAGCTTTAAATAGTGTATAATCTCGTACAACTAGTTTATAACATGGGTCTACCATGCATCAGAACAAATGGCTGCTCCATAAAGGGAGCCCTTCTATAAAATACTTTCTGAAAAGGTTTGTAATGTCAAAAACACAAGTATCATTGTAGCACCATGCATATGCAATACAAATGGCTCTTTCCTTACAAGAGGTGTTTCAGGGAGATTTATAATACTTGCAGGTTTCGGGGAAACAGTGTCCAAAACCCAATTATGGAACCCAACACGATATTCAATGGAAGAGCCCCTTTAACAGGTATTATATAACGGAGCTGAAGGGGGCAGAGACTGCGGTGGGTAGGTGTTTACGCCGAACGGCTGTGGATGATACGGTACTTGTTTAAAGGGGGTGTCCCAGTTACAGCAGATATTGTTACAGTGATGGTGAGAGAAAAATTCAGAAATTCCAGGAAATCGGCAGTCATTGTGACCGAAACGACCGGATAATGAATGGATGGTTGGGGAAGTGAAATGATAGCCGCTGCCATTACTCACACCCTGAAGCCCGCAAATCACGAGCTCTCTCGACTGGTGCCACGTGAAGTGCGAGAATGCTTGCGTCATATCCGCTTCCCCCCGAGTCAGTAGAAGCACCACTTGCAGAACTGAATCTTTTAAACGTTCCCTCAATGAAATCTTCCAGAAGTACATATTCTTTTAATTTCAGTTTCTTCTCGTGAGGCTGGAATAACTTCATTACTCCACTGAAGTCGGACACTTTGTTCATTTGAGCGACGAGCGGCGTTGTGAAACGGACAACTTTGCGTTTGAGACACTGGTTGAAGAGTGTCGCCATCTGGCGTCCAGTCCTCGAAGCTTCCTCGACGCTCCACCAGTCTGCCTCCCTGCCTGTGTGGGTGACACACGCTTTCACAGCACAGAACATCCCACGTTTCGGCCCTGTACCGTTGAGCATGCCCTTGTAAACGGCGTGGTCCTTTCCCTCGTGAAAGGGGAACAACTCGAAGCTAGATCGGTACGAGTTACCTGCCCCGTCGTCACGTGACTGGAACGTTGTGTTATCCCGTTCGAGACATAAAATCTTCATTGTTGTAGATTTCAGGTTCTGAAATGAGATGCAGAAATAGTCACTTTAATAACACATTAATAACACAGACCCTGCACTCTCAAACCAGACGGGGGTTCGAACATGTATGTTGGTTCAGCGAACTATTTCTAGAGTGCCTTGGATATATCGCTCTATTGCAGGCCACTGTGATGTCATCGATTACCATGATGTCACAATCAAATGACACTACGAATCTCTGCTTGAAGCTTGTTAAGTCCGTCTTCATTTAACCTTAGGTCAACACCATGGAGTAGCCAATCACAGACTTGGAAGTCGACCTCACACGTTTCATACCCGTTCCCTCAACTTGCTTTTTTCAACCACAGAAATATAGAATCTCATCTCAAGTCTTTTTGATATCAAATATATGAGAACTCTAAGATAAAAGTATAAAACTCAAATATTCCTTTTTGGGGGAGAATACCACAAATGCAAAGTGTTGTACGTACGCGAATGCGGTGTACAATAAGTAACCTATGTCAATACATTCACAACATATATCACACGATTACCAAATTCAGTGACAGAACGGGTTACGTTAATTCCTACAGTATTGATGTATCATACACACACGTTGATTACATCAATATATAGCAATGGCCGTTATTGATTTTGTGTGATCTCATTATGTTCATTCAGGTTTCCTCCGACAAGGCTGATGCATACAAGACGTTTTAACAGCTATTGACAACAGGTCGTGACAACTGACAGTCAATCACATATTAACACCCTGTTACCAGCAGCGATATTGACCAGCCAATCGATCCTTGCTAATTATACCACCTGTCCCAGGTCAAAGGTTACACGTTTATTATAATCTATATGCACGACAGTAATTTACGAATCACTATTTTGACCAAATTGGCGATGTTATGAAGAGGAAGGCCATAATGTTTGAAACCACGACACCAGTATATTCAACACCTGTTTGACTGATACATATCCATAATGCATTTTGAGTAAGCTACTCGAATCTCGCGCACACTTCCAGACATACAAAACAATTCCAAGCAATTCAAAATTACTTTTAAAAGTCCAGATTTCATCTTTTTCTAAACATATAGTGATTATCTGGTATCCTTTTTATTACGAATTTAACCCAATTAATGCTGCTACAGTTGTATATGTGACTGAATCCATACTGAGTCACCTGCTTTAATGCAGTACCGGAACCCATGAATGTATTTCACGATCAGCTGTGCTCTCCGGTCTGAGCATCAGTTTCACCTCACAAAGTTAATATAACCGACTGTTCTATATGGCATTCTCATAATTCTCACAAATATATTCAACCTGGTAATTTTGGGAGTGTTTGTCTAGTTTTCACTAATATTCGCCAGACATTAAAAAACCAAACGATCCCAAAAATAATCAATTCATGGATCCTTTGATGGATCTCTCCTTCATCACCTTGAATACAAAACTATAACAATTACTCTGCCTCACAGTTTCTCAACCATTATATTTTCTGTTCGGCTAAGCCCGGTCTGTTTTGCTTCAACTCTAAACGTAGCAAGTCTAGATTTTCCAGAGTCAGATAATGAATGTCCCATCTCACGGGGAATCCTTTTAAATTTAAATGGTGTTGTGTGTTTCTATTAAAATGAGTCATTTTCAGAGACTAAACGTTCATCAGAAAAACCTATGAACATCCCTAGTTATGTTAAAGTGACGAAGCTCCAATCAAGTTTACACAGCCCACTGCGCGATAACGTGCACAGACGTATCGCCCCTACCTTGTTATCAGGCGCGACGAGATATACAGTTGCACCCGTCTGGGATGTCTGTTGATAGCGTCAGTCACCAAACACCGCCACGCCTTGTCGCGCCACCGTACCTGTACACAAACACTAGATACATAGATACAGAGGGGATGTTGTTTAATGTGAAATGGGAAAACGTGCACTATGAATCACTGAACCATTCATCACATAAACAGAGCCTCTGTTTACACTTATATAGGATATACATGCTCGTCTTCTCATGTAAACGAATGGGCGTTGTGGGTTCGATGGCCATGGCTAGAATTTAAATAATGATAAAAATTATAATATTCACATGAATATATATTTTCAAAAATCAACCGTCATGTGTACAATGTTTTCTTAAGAAGCCGGTTGTATCGACAAGTGATATTTATATATCAAAACGTGTAACGTCATAAATTTACTCAATTTGACGAAAGTACAACATGGAACCAACAAAAAAACACACACAAAAATAAAAGTAAAACAAAATTTATCAAATATATTACCAAAGACGATAAATAATGAAATATAGGTAAAGACCTAAGTATGATATGTATGGATACCTTTTGTCAAAAGATTATGAAATTGTGAATATTTTTCATAAAACGTTATGATAAAGGGCAGCAGAGCACAAAACAAGACACGTGCATGGAATGGCCGCACACCTACCTTGTGCATGCACGAACTTATACCTACACTAGGTGCACCACGACTGGGGAAATATTTCACGTGTAATTGCTATGCACAGCCGGCATTCACAACACGCACATCTGTTCACGTGATACATTATACGAACGTGCATGCGTGACCGGCATATCACCACGCCTCACAGCAGTTGCCTCCCTTTTGTAATGCGCTAGCATTCCAGCGGTTTCATTTAGTTAATTTATTCAGGTTGAGTTCCTGCAACGTACACGCGAACGGTGAAATTGGATGCGATAGAAATCCACGACCCTATTTGGAAAAAAGATGTATGTGTGTTGTAGGTATATCTCAACGATTCACAAAAGCAAGAATAAACAATTGAAAACTCTACACGCACATTTTCTTTGCACAATGTAAACAATATGATAAAAACAAACTTCTGTTTACATACGTTATGAACCCTGTTGGCCCTGAAGCTGGTGCCTCCCGACTGAATGAAAACACCTTTCTTACATAGTTATGAGCTCAGTCTATGTACTCCATCCCCATAAAATACACAGCCCCATGTGTTTCACGAAACGTTCATTTCCGTGAATGGTATAATTGTTGATATACACACGTTTGTGAGGTAGTACATTATAACAGTAAATGTGCAGCAGATGGCATCCTTGTATACTTCACCCCGTTCTGATGGACAGATAATGGACAACGGATATCAGTGTCGGGACAGGAGACTGCAATATACATGTCCGTCATCAACAGATGCTATCTGTCGTCAAGCTGTCGATCAGCTGGGAAATCGACATTTATACAGCATGTACATTTCAAGACGACCGAGCTCACATGCACCTGCTGTTAATATGAACAAAAAACCATCATGGTCACTTACCTGGTTCAAAATATTCCGACTCAGTTTGAATAAACGCTACAACAGGCTCTCACCACTGGCTAATTTTACTCCATCGTGCGGACGAAACTGTTGCCATCGCCATTTGGCGAGATTCTGGTAGCCGTATTGATCGTGCGTAGTGTCTGTTGGGGTTGCCATGGAAACCCGCTACGCTAGGGAAGCATCGCCTACGCGTGAATTCGATAATACTACTCAATCACTGATTTGATGATGGTATTACTGCTGCAGTGATGGCGACCCATCAATTGATGTAATGACTTTAACACAAGCATGTTATAACACGTTTGTCAGTCGAAACATCATGATGATAATAAGTTTTCAGATTGACAGATTATATGTTTTGGTTGACATACGCAGGTATAGTTGTGATTGTCATGCGCGTCGGTGTGATTGGCATACGCAGCTGTAATTGTGATTGTCATGAGCGTCGAAGTGATTGACAGACACAGGAGTTGTGCCTGAACCAGGTATACCGCTACACATCATACACATTACCACAAGGTGACACGTTAAAGCATTATAAGTACCACTATTAATAATTCATATCGCAAATGTTATCTCCATATGCATATCACATGTATACATAAGGCGGCACGTAAATGCAAGTTATAACATCTTTAGTACAATAATACCTATAGAAGACATCTTTAGTACAATAATACCTATAGAATACATCTTTAGTACAATAATACCTATAGAATACATCTTTAGTACAATAATACCTATAGAATACATCTTTAGTACAATAATACCTATTGAATACATCTTTAGTACAATAATACCTATAGAATACATCTTTAGTACAATAATACCTATAGAATACATGTTTAGTACAATAATACCTATAGAATACATATAATAATCAAAATATTCTAGCTGTATCGTCAAATTACATACACGCCAGGTATCGATATCCATCCGATATGCTCTTGCGATATGTACTTATTGATTTGCTTTATATTTACCCTGTGAGGGTTAGAATTATAGGTTGAATGGTTTCTTTTACTCTTGTAGAGTATTAATTGTTTGCCAGGGTATATCACCTGAACTAGTCATTCATGGTCTTGAAGTACAAGTTTGTTCACTGAGTAAAACTTCTTTACTCACAGTTATTGTTTGTATCGAACCTCGGATACAATCACCCATACAATCACCCATCCACTCACTCAGCAGCTGAAAAAACTACTTCAGGTAATGTGTAAAAATATCATCACTATTTCTAGGGATGTTTTAATTATTTACAACTTCATGGATTGTGCTCCTTCCCGATCGTTTTATGTCATTGTTTAGGCTAAGTTATGTTTATAAAGTGAGAAAAAATAACAAACAAACAAAAAAGACAAACACAAACCCTATCTACTAACTAGTGCTGGTATTGCATACAACCTGCGATACGATACATCACGATACTAAAATTATAGTCTCGACGATATATTGCCAAGGTATTGTGCACTGAAACTGCGATACGATACGAATCCCGACATAAGGGTGGCGATACGATACGTATCACGATACTAAATCTTTATTTCTAACACCAACTGTAAAACACCTTAAGATCAAAACAAAACCATTTTAAAGTATTTCGTCAAATTCCGCCAGCGTTTGTCAATGTTCATTCGGAAACGAGATAATTCAGGTTATACACGGACTTTGTGAATGTTAATAACATGCGAGCGCTATGTCTGAAAGGTCACATGCAACCAAAATCAAACATAATTAAAACACAATTATCACTTATTCATGACATATAATATACATTGCTGGTTATGAAAAACATATAAACAAAATTATAAGCGTACAATCGCAAATCAAAGTGCAAAATTGTGTACTTCGGTTTACTTCCCAAGAAACGAAGCAGCCGGGATACCGAACCCAGTCAGAGCGGGTGGGTGTGCACTCAAGTGTAACGGCTGGTTCATTTGCAGATGCCGCCCACACTGCTCATTGTGTGTGTATATATAGAGATGTTGGGTTTTGTAAATACATGCTCATTTTTTGTGTATAACATTTTGCAATCAACAGACATCATAACATGTCATGTGTTCAAGTATCACACCTGCCTGTCTGTGTAATTACATAATGTGACAGAGACCGAACTCGGGCCATAAATCAATGCATTTTGTTTATGGTGTATAGCCCTGATTGGTGTTAAGTTCAAATTGCATGTGGTCAGTGATAGCAGCTGTGTATTGAATATTGTCATTAGCAGACAGGCAGGCAGACACACAGGTGTCAATAAAACAAGACATTGAGTTTGTCTGTGACAACGACATATCTATATCACAGTTAGAAATTCTGTCAACGCTAAATAATGACATTGCTTTTAAGTATCGAACTGAGAAAGTGACTCGGTAAGAAGAACGTGTGGTGAAATAGACAAATGAAATTATATAAACAGTTAATTTACTGTCATAACATATAAAAAGCTCGCGCCTGTGAGATATCAACAAAACATTAGAAAAATAGCTCACACCAAAGCCTTCAACGAGTATTCACCCGACAACCCGCTTCCAAGCTGCGCGAACCTATTTCACTGCGCACGTGCTATGAGCGCAGCCCAGCTGTTGAAACACGTTTTCCCCAGAAAAGTCGGGGGAAAATTAGTGAAACGTTTGAACTCCGATTTCGCGCGTTTTTTTTTCATCACGTTATTTTTCAGCTTTATAAGTTGAATTTGCATTTTTGACGATTTGTTTCGGCAAGTCCATACCGAAAGGTATCAGAATCTGCAAAGTTGTGTTTTACGTTGCATGTGACCTTTAATATTTGGGAATAGCCAAATTATGAAAATATATTCTCTTTGTTGCGAATGTAGGTATATCCGAAGATATGGTTAACATCAGAGTGTATTGGTTTTTAATAAATTGTATGCATGATGTGAACCCGTTTTGGCCAACTAGAAATGTCCCATTTGTTAACTTTGAAATATTATTATGAAAAGTATTGATCATGGTAATAGGCATTTTCAGCTGGTTTCTTACGCTTGAACGTTTAGGGCTTGATTCATCAAGTAAATAACCATCATGAAATGCGCTTTTTTCCTAACTGCCAAAGAGTAATTCTATCAGACTATCAATCAGTAATTTCAGAAATCAGTGCTGTATTTCTTACGTCAGTGACAAAGTCACTTGGGTTTGGGGTCAAGTGTTTGCTGATGTTGTTTCGGCATTTAACTGTGCTAAATTGTACGTTTGTCACTTACCTATGAACACCCACAGTCTCTGCTCCGCTCCGCCAATTGTGACGTCACAGATACAAGGGAGGTAACTCTTTATACGACAGAAGACAACAAGCGAACCTGCGCGAAACAAAAGTAACACTTTTACACAAATCTTTAGTGTGTCTTTTTTTGTAAATGAAACTAACCAGTTGATTTCAGAATATGACGCTGTTAATTGTACTTTATGTTTATCAAGACGTTTCAGCTTATTGTGAGAGGGTAGATCAAACTCTGAGGATCTTTACAGCTCTGCTGAAACCAAAGATTCGGGTTATGGAGTCATAGAACGCATGTACAGATGATTTTCAGGGCATATCGGAGGTTCAAACCCACAAGCCGGTCTGGGTTCGACTAAGGGACGCAACTCCGCACAGTAAATAATGACGCCCAAACAACAAGATCACTCATGTTTAAAGCAGGTTGGCTTTTTCTTCGCAGATTCAAAATTTGGTTGTGATGAACGACTGGTTTGACTCGTGTTCACCAGTGTCTGGCATCTGGTGATGACTTGCAATTGGCTAATTCAAACGAAGCTGGCGAAACGATCACCATGAGAGTGTTGTTGCCCTTAATAAGATGATTGTGCTTCCCATGTCCTTCAGAAATAGCACTGATTATGACAGACAGTGTGGCTGATGTATGTTTGTTTACTTGCAGCATAACCCTATATGCATTCTGGCAAACGAAACGACGATGCTAGAAATATGTACGAACGCTACCTTAAGTTAGTTGATACCCGTAAAGATCCGGAATAGAAAAGGCGACGAACAGGATCGGGTGGTCAGGCTCACTGACTTAGTTGACACATGTCATCGGTTCCCAATTGCGTAGATCGGTGGATGTTGATCACTGGATTGTCTGGTCTTCAGTCTAAGTAAACTTAGACTCAGTATTGTTCGTTACACTGCTATACTGAGTCTAACAAAACCTAGTAGAAGGTCGCGTCAGCTAACCTTTGAGTGACCTATGACCGTCCAATCAAACGCGAGACGGCCGAATGGATTTAACCAATCAGACAACGACTTGTTAGGGTTCGGCGGGACTTACAAAACTGTTTTGGGATTTTCTCTTCCCTTGTCGCTGACACTGATCTATCAACAAACGAAAATCCGCATAAAACACAGATATTTGACCTGCAGTATATATGCTTATGGGTTTCTAATGACATGGTTACTAATTGCTTATATTTTCAAAGATGACATCCTTGAATATTGTCAAAAACGCTATTTTCAGCGACTGTTTACTCATTGCGTGTATCACTCGGAAGCGATCGTGCGGAAAATAGCATTCAGAATCGTTCGAGTTTTTCAGGTAAAGGTTCAAACGGTATGTGCGAATGTTAACTTTCGCGATTTGGTAAGCTGTGTTCTGATTGGTCAGTCCAAAAGGTTAGCTGACGCGACCTTCTCCTAGGTTTCGTTAGACTCAGTATAGCAGTGTAACGAATAATACTGAGCCTAAGTTTACTTAGACTGGTCTGGTCTTGACTCGATTATTTACAGACCGCCGCCATATAGCTGGAATACTGCAATAAACCAACCAACCAATTAAGCTAGTTGCTGCTGTTGTGGAATAAATTATCTCGTAATTAGGTAATGCACAGAACGTCTGTGAAGCAATACCCCATGCATCGGGTATCTCAATGTGAGATCACGGAAGTGGGTTGGGTTTAACGCAATTTGGAACAGTGTGTTAATCCAACCAACACAGTTATCTATCCTGTTTTTGAAAGAAAAGGCCGAAATATATTTATATATATTAAAAACTCCAAAGAAACGCTCCACATCACATGAAAAGAAGATACCTAAATCATGGAGTTATCTTATTACTAATTTTTGGAACAGGCGGAATATTTATCATCTAATGGAGGTTGTTATCGGTGCAATAAAGCAATCTGATAAACTTGGTATCAAAATTTGATAACTATACGTCAATCCACGAACTACTTTCACCAAACTCCATACACGCCATGCGAATCCTAAAACGTTTAACATTTCACTGATGACATCGTCACGAGTTTACATTGTTTGTAAACAAACATGGCTGCCCCCATTCTCAAAATTGGTGATTCTGTAAGAATTGGTGACTGAGGTTCTGGAGTCGTTACTGCAGTAATTGACTTTGGAAAACATGAACCGGAGTACTTCGTTCACATTGAAGGTACGGATTATGAGGCACGACTGAAAGGCAATCGTCTAAGAAAGGTACCAACCAAGGATTTCGATCTATCGATCACAATGCAGATGACGAATCGATTCCGTCAGGTATCAGAAACTGATATTGATGAGGCGTTTACCCGCAATGAAAATATATAGAAACACTGCCAGGAAAGCCCTGCCCGGTTTTGTTGTTCCTTTTAGACAGAAAGATCTCATGTTAAGCATGAGTTTTGTTTGCACTGTATTAGCAACTAGTCACAACCATATGCCGCCGTCATGAACGACCTTCACCTTGGTGTACCGCTAAGTATTCTTACGCGAATGCTCGATTCTCTTCATATAAATTCATGTACGATTTGCTTCTTTTTTTAAGAGTAATTTAAGAATGACATTATATGATAAGAGATTATTAACCTCGTGTGTTTCCGTATCATTAATATCATATATTAGGAATAAAAAAATATGTATTATGCTCGCCAAAGGCTCACATAATACAATTTTTATTCCTAATATATGATATTAATGATACGGAAACACACTCGGTTAATAATCTCTATATATCAATTCTATTCCTTTGGATTATGTATTCTCGCTCGAGGTCACACAGTGTTTGGGACAAGCAAATTGAGACAATTCGACAATTTAGAATCTGATGATATTTTACGTTCGCTTCGTGTGATTATGGATTAAATCTGAAACTATTCATGCTTTTATGGCCCTTGCTTGCATGTCAGACACACAGGTTCTTGTCTGTCCGATTGTGCATGCTACACATACATGAACATATTCCCTAGGTGTATTAGAACTAGGTGTATTAGAACTACCCTCGCGACATGTATGGACGTTCTTTAGTAATTAATGAGTAACATTTTAAGGGAATGTATTGGGCTATGTAAACTATTTAATCTAGCGGAAAGTATCCATTGGTGGTTGAATTTAAATGTTGCTGGTTTCAAGGTAGAAACAATATGGAACTTTGAGACTGATTTGGTGTACTGGTATGTTTGGGGTACTGCAAAGCTATATTCTACTACTCCCATAATCATATGTGTCATTAGAAATAGCCGAAGTATTCAGGTGAAAGGGTATAAATCAAAAGTCATAACAAAACGAGCCAGTTTCAAAGCATGATACATGTTTTGGAATCAACCGTCCATGACGATGTACATGTAAAATAGCGATGGACAGATATTCCTTAGCTTCTAAACATGATACTGTGTGAACCAGTAGCAAATACGTCAGGGTCCCACCGACAGATGAAAGAGTTTCCATTTGTTCTTATGAACCCCACTTTGGAAACTAAGATAATTACAATTGCCTAATACTGCTCAGAAATATACTTCTTCAGTCTTTTATCAACAGTTGTTTCATTTTGCAGTTAAAAGGACAAACTCTTTCGATATTCATAAGAAATCCCAACCAAAAGCAGAGCTGATTGTACGATTCCGACCTTATCTTCAACACCTGTTTATGAATCACTTTGAAATAGTGATTGTAGTAGTCGTAAAAGGAGGGCGTAAAATATTACCCTATCACAAACACATGCAGAGGCATGTCAATTGTTCACTACTAAGTCAGTCCTAAACAAAAGGTATTTCACCAGGGCTACAAATTCAGGGCCTCAGCAAAGCTGGAGGAGGACAGTTTCAAATTGGACACATCTGGGACATAAGTCACTGTTTCCACTTTAAGTGTGTTCAAGTGAACACTTATTTTGCCTTTAGTAGCGACGGAGTGGCATCGGAGGAGCAGGATACGGGATATCTTTAACAACACGTCACAATACCTTATGACGTAATGTGTGGAACATTGTCACCAAAACAAAATGTCGAAACAATGTCCAGTGACGCCAGACTGTTACTGGGATATCGAGTGTGCCTAAAGCTCCTCTCAGTGTTCTGCCGTCACCATATGCATTGTCATTGAGTAATTCCAGCGATGTTGGAAGTTTTCAATATTTTCATGTTAAATATAGCCGCCGCCATTTCGCGGACTCTTGGTATCATCATTTTTTATGGCATCGTTACATTCATACAATGGACGTGTCACAACATTCACTCTTCAAAAAAAGGGAAGGGACATTTATAGAATCCTAAAAGGGACATTGTCGCGTTATCGCATTGTTGAGTTGTCGCCCTTACGAAAACAAGCAAAACGTTTTGTTAGGTCATTGAATCGAATTGGAAACTCAGGGTAAAAGAGCCAGCCAGTCATCATAACGTGAATCTTTAACATACGATTATCATAGCTATGAGTTATCTCATTCAAACCATACCCGTGAAGATCCAGGCTAGAATATTGGCCTTCAGTAACCCATGCTTGTCGTAAGAGGTGACTAACGGGATCGGGTGGTCAGGTTCGCTGACGTGGTTGACACATGTCATCGGTTCCCAATTGCGCAGATCGATGCTCATGTTGTTGATCACTGGATTGTCTGGTCCAGACACGATTATTTACAGACTGCCGCCATATAGCTGGAATATTGCTGAGTGCGGCGTAAAACTAAACTCACTCACTCACTCACACATTCAAACCACATCTTACCTCGGAGGAGTTAGTCGTTGACTAAAGTAGAACTAGATAAAGAGTTCCACCTGCGTCACATCATTTCCATAACATCTGTGTACTAGATGTAAATTTATAATTTAGTTTGTGCAGCAGCTAGTTGCATGTTCCATGATTTGTCCATTCCATTACGTTGTCCATTTCTTCAAGTTTTTTGTCTACCGGTACCGGAAATTCGTCACTATACCTATATATACACTGGATTCACCACGAGACCTTCCTCTTGCTCCATCTTGCTATTGTTTCATGTTCCCACCGCATCTCTCCTACCTCTCCTTTGGTCATGGGTATTACTTGCCTATGAGTTAGCTTTCTCCAGCTGCCAGACAGGATAAACATACCTATGCACTGGCTCTCCATCAGCTGCCATACAGGTAAACAAACCTACGTGCTGGCTGTCCACCAGCTGCAATACAGGTAAAACATACTGATGCACTGGCTCTCCACCAGCTGCCATACAGGTAAAACATACCTACGCGCTGACGCACAGGTAAAAACATGGCACTGGTTCTCCACCAGCTGTCATACATGGTAAAACATACTGACGCACTGGTTCTCCACCAGCTGTCATACAGGTAAAACATACCTACGCACTGGCTCTCCACCAGCTGCCATACAGGTAAAACATACCTCCGCGCTGGCTCTCCACCAGCTGCCATCCGACAGGTAAAACATACCTACGCACTGGCTCTCCACCAGCTGCCATACAGGTAAAACATACCTACGCACTGGCTCTCCACCAGCTGCATATACGGCAAACCAAACATACAGGTAAACATACCTACTGGCTACCGAGCTGCCATACAGGTAAAACATACCTACGCACTGGCTCTCCACCAGCTGCCATACAGGTAAAACATACCTACGCGCTGGCTCTCCACCAGCTGCCATACAGGTAAAACATACCTACGCACTGGCTCTCCACCAGCTGCCATACAGGTAAAACATACCTGGCCTCTGCAGCTGGCTCAGGTCCACCAGCTGCCAGACAGGTAAACATACCTACACGCTGGCTCTCTACTGGTTACCATACAATACAGGTAAAAGCATACCCATACACGCTGGCTCTCTGCTAGTTGCCATACAGGTAAAACATCATGACGCCTACTCCACGCTGGCTCTCTACTAGTTGCCATACAGGCACTAAAACATACCTACACGCTGGCTCTCTACTAGTTGCCATACAGGTAAAACATACATAACTGCTGGCTGGCTCTCCACCAGCTGTCATACAGGTAAACATCACGGGTTTGGGCTGGCAGACAGGTAAAATAATCAGCTGGATTCCCAGATCTCAGGTAAAACATACTACGGCTATCAACCAGCCATACAGGTAAAGGCTGGACCTCCACCAGTTCTCATTCCTCTTGGCTTAACAGGACATACTTGCGCTACACGTTAACTGGTTATCACTCATACTGGGAATACCTCCGCCTGGCCCTCACCAGCATCTGGTAAAACATGCTTGCTGGCTCTCTATGTATACCTCTTCACCAGCTATATATATGTGCCAGATAATAAACATGCGCCTGTATCATGTTTCCTATTGTTGTTGCACAAATAACCAATTAGCGACAATTGTGCAATGCATGCTCTGAAAATGAGAAAGCTGTACTTGAACAACTGTGATCTGTAAGGCACTCAATGTACGGGTCTGCCGCACCCCCAGGGACACGGTTGCACGACGCTACTGATTATGTAGGCAATCCTCTTATCGGTAAAAGACCATTGCACTTTAGAAAGACTAATAAGAATAGCTAAATCAGTACAGCCTTAAATCGTAAAAGAGCACTAACTCTCTAAAAGATCCTCTCAAATATTGAAATACGGAAATATCATCAACTCTGTAAAGAAAGATATGGCATAATCCTGTCACTCTTATTCATCATATCAAATATCTTAAAGTCGGTGGTGAAGAGCATTTTATCGATTACTGTGTTACAACGAGGTATGTTTGGCAAGTTTCCAGGTCACGGTGCGACACGGCTCGGACTTTGTTCCGTCGTCTGTTGACTAACGGCGATGTTATTTTTGTACGTTATATCGGTCCGTGCCGGAGGTATATCACATTTGTCAACATGATGAACGCTACTCTGAAGAATATGACTGAATCTGATCATGGAATATGGCTGGCGTCGATGGGTAAGTATGACTGTCACGAAGACATGATGACAAAATGAATATTTTCATTCGTACGCGGCGTTATCTATGTAAGGAAAATAGGACAGACACGAGTGAATAGACACGGGTAACGTAACACAATACGTCCAACACAGACAACCTACAGTTGTATATACCAGGTAATAACACAGCAGGTGTGTGTGTGTGTGTGTGTGTGTGTGTGTGTGTGTGTGTGTGTGTGTGTGTGTGTGTTTGTTTTGTTGTTGTTGTTGTTGTTGTGTGTGTGTGTGTGTGTGTGTGTTTGGGGGGCCTTGTGGTTAAAGCGCTCGCTCGTCACGCCGAAGACCCGGGTTCGATTCCCTACATGAATACAATGTGTGAAGCCCATTTCTGGTGTCCCCGCCGTGATTGCTGGAATATTGCTAAAAGTGGCGTAAAACCACTCATTCACTCACTAGTACACAGCACAACGTTTATGTCTAACCCAAACATGCTTGACGTTTCTAAATCTATAACACGGTAACAATGTTTATGTCAGAAGTAAAGAAGGGGAAATGTATGGATGTCTGTATTGTGAGGATCACTGCGTTTCACCTGTATCACTTCTAAATGTCAGTCAAGGAGTACAGTGAATCATATCACACCATAACACAGTTACATATGTGCATTGTGTGTCCAAGTCAAGCCACCATACACAGGGACTATGGCAATGTCATGACATAACACACAGGGACTATGGCAATGTCATGACATAACACACAGGGACTATGGAAATGTCATGACATAACACACAGGGACTATGGCAATGTCATGACATAACACACTGGGACTATGGCAATGTCATGACATAACACACAGGGACTATGGCAATGTCATGACATAACACACTGGGACTATGTCAATGTCATGACATAACACACCGGGTCAATGTGAATGTTGACATAACACACTGGGACTATGGCAATGTCATGACATAACACACAGGGACTATGGCAATGTCATGACATAACACACTGGGTCAATGTGAATGTTGACATAACACACAGGGACTATGGCAATGTCGCTGACGACATAACACTGATTCATGGCAATGTCATGACATAACACACAGGGGACTATGCGGCAGTGTCATGGCATAACACACAGGGACTATGACAATGTCATGGCATAACACACGGGGACTATGGTAATGTCATGACATAACACACAGGGACTGTGGCGGCAATGTCATGACATAACACAGGGATTCATGGCAATGTCATGACATAACACACTGGGACTATGGCAATGTCATGACATAACACACACGGGGACTATGGCAATGTCACTGACATAACACACAGGGACTATGGCAATGTCATGGCATAACACACAGGGACTATGGCAATGTCATGACATAACACTACTGGGACTATGGCAATGTCATGACATAACACACAGGGACTATGGCAATGTCATGACATAACACACAGGGACTATGGCAATGTCATGGCATAACACACAGGGACTCTGGCAATGTCATGACATAACACACAGGGACTATGGCAATGTCATGACATAAAACACAGGGACTATGGCAATGTCATGACATAACACACAGGGACTATGGCAATGTCATGACATAACACACTGGGACTATGGCAATGTCATGACATAACACACAGGGACTATGGCAATGTCATGACATAACACACAGGGACTATGGCAATGTCATGACATAACACACAGGGACTATGGCAATGTCATGACATAACACACTGGGACTATGGCAATGTCATGGCATAACACACAGGGACTATGGCAATGTCATGACATAACACACTGGGACTATGGCAATGTCATGACATAACACAGAGGGACTATGGCAATGTCATGGCATAACACACAGGGACTATGACAATGTCATGGCATAACACACAGGGACTATGGTAATGTCATGACATAACACACAGGGACTATGGCAATGTCATGACATAACACACAGGGACTATGGCAATGTCATGACATAACACACTAAGGACTATGGCAATGTCATGACACAACTAACACAGGGACTATGGCAATGTCATGACATAACACACAGGGACTATGGCAATGTCATGACATAACACACAGGGACTATGGCAATGTCATGGCATAACACACAGGGACTATGGCAATGTCATGACATAACACACAGGGACTATGGCAATGTCATGACATAACACACAGGGACTATGGCAATGTCATGACGCATAACACACAGGGACTATGGCAATGTCATGGCATAACACAGGGGAACTCTGGCAATGTCATGACATAACACACAGGACTATGGCAATGTCATGACATAAAACACAGGGACTATGGCAATGTCATGACATAACACACTGGGACTATGGCAATGTCATGACATAACACACAGGGACTATGGCAATGTCATGACATAACACACAGGGACTATGGCAATGTCATGACATAACACACAGGGACTATGGCAATGTCATGACATAACACACACGGGACTATGGCAATGTCATGACATAACACACTGGGACTATGGCAATGTCATGGCGCATAACACACAGGGGACTATGGCAATGTCATGACATAACACACTAAGGACTATGGCAATGTCATGACATAACACAGAGGGACTCTGGCAATGTCATGGCATAACACACAGGGACTATGACAATGTCATGACATAACACACAGGGACTATGGTAATGTCATGACATAACACACAGGGACTATGGCAATGTCATGACATAACACACACGGGGACTATGGCAATGTCATGACATAACACACTGGGACTATGGCAATGTCATGACATAACACACGGGGACTATGGCGTGTCATGACATAACACACAGGGACTATGGCAATATCATGGCATAACACAGGGACTATGGCAATGTCATGACATAACACTAAGGACTATGGCAATGTCATGACATAACACACAGGGACTATAGCAATGTCAGCGACATAACACACAGGGACTATGGTGGCAATGTCATGGCATAACACACAGGGACTATGGCAATGTCATGACATAACACACTAGGACTATGGCAGTATCGCAGCAATAAACACGCCAGGACTATGGCAATGTCATGACATAACACACACAGGGACTATGACAATGTCATGACACACCACAGGGACTATGGCAATGTCATGACATTAACACTACTTTTGGGACTATGGCAATGTCATGGCATAACACACAGGGACTATGGCAATGTCGCTGACATAAACACTAACTGGGACTATGGCAATGTCGTGACATAACGCACAGGGACTATGGCAATGTCATGACATAACACACAGGGACTATGGCAATGTCATGACATAACACACTGGGACTATGGCAATGTCATGACATAACACACAGGGACTATGGCAATGTCATGACATAACACACTGGGACTATGGCAATGTCATGACATAACACACAGGGACTATGGCAATGTCATGACATAACACACAGGGACTATGGCAATGTCATGGCATAACACACAGGGACTATGGCAATGTCATGACATAACACACTGGGACTATGGCAATGTCATGACATAACACACCGGGTCAATGTGAATGTTGACATAACACACCGGGTCAATGTGAATGTTGACATAACACACTGGGACAATGTGAATGTTGACATAACACACCGGGTCAATGTGAATGTTGACATAACACACCGGGTCAATGTGAATGTTGACATAACACACTGGGACAATGTGAATGTTGACATAACACACTGGGACAATGTGAATGTTGACATAACACACTGGGACAATGTGAATGTTGACATAACACACTGGGACAATGTGAATGTTGACATAACACAATGGGTCAATGTTAATGTTGACATAACATAATGGGACAATGTCCATGTAGACATAACACAATGGGACAATGTCCATGTAGACATAACACACTGGGTCAATGTGAATGTTGACATAACACAATGGGACAATGTCCATGTAGACATTACACAAGGGGTCAATGCCCATGTCATGCCACGATATACTGGGACCATCTCCATGTAAAGACATAATACAATGGGACAATGTCCATGTAAAGACGTAACACAATTGGACAATGTCCATGTCATGCCATGATATATTGGGACCATGTCCATGTCAAGCCACGATATACTCGGACAATGTCCATGTCAAGACGTAACACAATGGGACAATGTCCATGTCAAGACGTAACACAATGGGACAATGTCCATGTAAAGACATAATACAATGGGACAATGTCCATGTCAAGACTTAACACAATGGGACAATGACCATGTCAAGACTTAACACATTGGGACAATCCATGTCAAGCCACAGTCTCCTGACAAGATGTTCATGCCAAGCCTCAACACTCAGTATTCACAACACTGACACAATGTCAAGTTATATCTCTCTGGCATAATACCAATGTCAAGTTTAATACACAGTAACAAAATCTGTGAAGGTATAGCCCATTAACACAATGTCGACATCAACCTACGCCATATTTATCAACACAACTTCAACAAGGTACGCAGACGGTTTGTGACATGAACCGAGAATGACAAACCAAACAAAAACAAATGATTATTATGTTTTCTTTAGCTTTAATGTGATGTTGGCGATAGCGAAACAAAGACCAGACTATAGTTGTTTCTTCACTCTGTTTTCAGGAACCTACTTGGTGTCAGTCGCCGTATTCTGGGTGGTGGGGACGTTGTTTCTCGTCGTGGACGTCACCGGTAGACCGGCGTGGATGAAACAGTTTAAAGTCCAGCCTGGCAAAAACGAACCGGTAAACTAATATGATTGGTTGGTTGGTGGGCTTGTTGGATGGTTTACCTGCTGGCTGACTGACTGACTGATTGGCTGGCTGGCTGGCTGTTTGGCTGGTTAGTGAGTTGGTTTACTGGATGGCTGAATGACTAGCTCGTTGGTTGGTTAATCAATGGATTGATTTAACAAGGTGTGGGTGAAATTTCCCTTCCATTGCTTTACCCAATTAGAAACAAAGTCTAGGGAGACCACCTCAAGTGCTCCATATTCTAAACATACATATTAAGGGAGTCACAATCTCTCCAGAGGAGTGACAGTATCACTTCAAGTTTCCAGTAGTCAACTATTTCTTTATTAACTTTCAAACAGTTCTTGCCTTTAGTGCCTACGTTCCACAACTTTTGCATGTTCTTTCTACCAAGATTTCAGCCAGCATCGTTCGACTGATGATCATGCCCAAGTAGCTTATCACGGTGGCGTGATAAGCTACTTAAAAGCTATTAATCGTATGGAGGGCAGTTCCAAGGGTGTCGCATCGGTGACGAACATGGTATCTGATGAAACTACGTATTGTGACTTATGGCCCCGTAGTGCCGAATATCGCCCTGTCCTCTGAACATGAACATTTGACGTTTCTTTGCATGCATTATGACATGTTCCACCAGTGGCGCAGGTTACGCTCATATTTTAGCCGACACCTAGTGTCATTATTTCATAATAAATATATAATGTTCATTATAGAGTTAGATTTATGCAATAGACACTGTTTTCAGAAGATATTTCTTGTAATTATGGACATGGTTAGGTTGGCTCAGAATGAAACCCAAGACCTCATTTATCATTGAACAGAATCATGCGCATATATATGCTTCAGAGCTACTTTCACAAATTGTCTCTACCTTCCATTGCTAAGCTAACGGGTTTTTGTTGTTTTTGTTTTTGTGTTTTTTTGTGACTTATACGTTAAAAGGTAAACACATACTTACGCTGTTTTGGAGAAAACAGTCCGAAAGAACCAGTTGTGTACTCTTTTTTGTACGTCAGTGTACTTATGACAGTTCGTGCCTGCAACTTAATCCATGGCGTATAGAGTTTAGATTTTATGCAATAACCATGAGGTCATAATACATGCATGGCGAATACAAATGAAAACTCCCAGACAGGTTGTCTATTACAAGATTACCCTTAAGAATCGTGTCGTGAATCGCGAATCTTCAGCAGCTTGTGACACACGCGTCGAGTATCTGCAAGTCATGTGACAGCACACCATTGTAGACCTTGAAACAACACACATTAATCATCATTAGAATTGTTTTATGAAATCTTTATCATTAGAGGTATCTGCAAAAATCATTGATCGTTGTACTATGTCAACTATGTATTGAGCCCGAGTTTTAAGAATAACCAGCAAATGGTGTTCCCAAGTAAAGGTGAATCATTGTTTGTTGTTATTTGGTGGTTTGCTTTTTGGATTTGATTGTTGTTGTTTTTGTTTTGTTTTGTCTTAATGCTGTTTTGTGTTTATTTGTATTTTGTTGCTGTTTTTGGTTTTTTTAAAATTTTTGTTGGGGGCAGGAGGTCGGTAGATGCAGGTGCATGTATGTGCAAACAAATATCAAGGATATGCATATAATTCTAAACTAAAGTAAGAAAATAATATTGCATGATTCGCATGTGACAACACCTACCGAATGTTTCAAAGACTAAAGGAGAATTTTTGAAAACGTGGTAAGCGGTTTTCCACCAGTTTGGGCACACCTTGTTCTGTGAATTGATGTCTGTTGCAAAAATGTCAAAACATTATATTGTCCTCTTTCTTCGTACCAATATTTCAGATGCCACTTACAGCATTACCCATTGATATATACATGAAAGTATTAGCTGATATACTCATTCAAGTATTAACAGGTATACCCACACCAGTATTAGCTGATGTATTAGCTAGTATACTCACGAAAGTATTATCTAGTATACTCACTGAAGTATAAGCCGGTATACTCACTGGATATTTAGGTGATATAGGTGAAGGGCAAAATAATATAGACATGCAGATGCTGTAACAACATTTAACCAATACTTGTCAATGTTATCATCTCACAATTTCCAATATCATCTGTGTTACCAAAGACGCTGCTTAAGATACAAGCAATATGTTGATGGGGTAGGGCACAGAACATTGAAACAATATCCATTTCACCTTTGTCCAAATGTATTTGTATTCGTAACGTGACGTGATTATTGCATTTACCACAATATGGGTATATCAATTTAAGGTGCATGTGCACCTACTCTAGATCTAGGACAACAAGATACATTGATAGTCACTGCACCAAGGTGACACATAGTCACAGCCAGATTATACCTCGGTCTCGTAAACGCGATCCCAGGCCTTCTATCTGCACGTGACACTTCGTGACCTTGTCGTCACGTTGTTTTGACCCACGACTGTCACCATTATGTGAAGGATTCTGGTCTCGACAATATACAGGTTATTGCTGAAGCCTTGCTATTTCTTGACAGCGATTGGATATTGTATTCATATCAGTATATTAAGCATACGTTCTTGCTAATTCTTGTGTATACATGGTTTTCTAATGGCGGAATCGCAAACATTTACTGGTAAAAAACTACTTGGGAAAACAAAATCACTTCCGTGAAAGGATTAGCTTGGCCATAAAATTGTTTCCAGATCTGTGGCATATGTGTGAGTGACAGAGTTGGGGCATGAGTGTGTTGATCAATGTATCAGTGATATCAGGTTAGTTATGGGGGGAAATGTGAGTAGATACCGACTGCTAAATATGTACCTTTTCATTGTTGCCTAAAAAACTGACCATGTATGAATTTGCGTGTCTGTTGTTAAACCTCGCATGCAGCAACATTCCAGCTATATGACGCGAGACATACACCAATGCACCCAATGCAGTGTTCATTCTGTATACAGTTTGCAAATAATGGGACTTGATGACTGGATGTTCTAATCACATCAATCCAATCCCTGTTGCTGGAGTACCAGTGGACATTTGACTTCAACCTGTTCAACTTGTCCGAAATTCATTGTGCACTAACAGGGGACACAACTCTGCACACGAAAGAGCTTGTTTGTTTTCGAGCTGAACGTTCCTTCAAACAGATATCAGTTGCAGTTTCTACCTGTCCTTAATTGTGGTAATATTTTTACTTTATCTACAACTAATTGCAACTTTTATTAAAGGTTAAGTCCGGCCCACTTTGGCAAACAACAAAAGTCGTCATCACCAACCAGATCTTCGTCGGCCTGCCTCTCAGCTTCGTCAATGCCGGTCTACAGCGATACCGAGGCTGCGACCTGACCTTGACCCTACCTCAACCAGTTGACTTCATTCGCGACTTTGCTGTGTTTGTTGTCCTGGAGGAATTTGGATTTTATTACTCTCACAGGTTGACAACGTTTTCCTTGCTTCCGTAAAATTGTTGTACTATCACTAATAATTCAGGCGTGTGTGGTGATAAGATGTAGCACCTTATCTAAGCGAATCAACACGTTTTGCACGAGGCAGTTTGCATGCTGCATAGTTTTATTATACATCACTTATCATTGCAATATAGCAACAGCTATTTTCTGGCCAATCCTGTAAGAATTCATAACTTCATGCTTTATGTATCATCCTCGGTACTCTAGTGTAACATATCTCCGTTCTATCCTGTGGCCATCGCCACCATACCTTTATTTAGATTCCAAACATGCGACAATAAAAATGCTGTCCAATCACATTACAATCACGATAAATATACAAGGTACACAAGGTACTGATAAAACAGATGAATATGACATCACATTCTTAACGGAGCGCTATGTTTGCGAATGGGTCCAGTGTAGCCATCATAATGCAAGGAATATACAATACAATTGTTATCAAGGATGTTTGCCGATATATCACTGAATGTTTTCTTATATTATTATGTGTTGTGGTCTCAAATGGCTTGCAAACAAACCTCCATTATAACAAGAAAAACGTTAATTTTCTATCATTTATTGACTTATTTTTCCTGAAAACATATTTAAGGTTACATACCTTTATGTACACGTGTTATCATAACTTTCATTCCCGATGGTCTCATTTTTCAAGTAGTTCCCAAGAACGCCAGTCTGGAATGATGGTGGGTTGTAAACACATATAACATCTTCCCCCAGGCTACTTCATCACCCCGTGTTCTACAGCTGGATACACAAGCAGCACCACGAGTGGACGGCCCCCGTCAGCTATGTCGCCGTCTACGCCCACCCCATTGAATACATCTTCTCCAACATCATCCCTCTTGTCCTCGGGCCCCTGGTGTGCGGATCCTGCCTCCTGACCACGTGGGCGTGGTTCGCCGTCGCCACCTTCACCACCATGATCCACCACAGCGGCTACCATCTGCCGATCCTCACGTCGTCTGAGTTCCACGACTTCCACCATCTAAAGTGAGACGATGATGATAGGTGTATTGAAAAGAACACAAAGACCAATGGTGATGATGATGTAATGATGATCATCACCATCATCATCATCACCATACCCATCATCATTATATCATCATCATCACATCACCATCATCATCACCATAACCATCATCATTATATCATCACCATCATCATCACATCACCATCATCATACCACCATCATCACCATAATCATCACACCAATGGTCTTTCGCGTTCTTCTCAATACACCCATTTCCTTTACACTGATAATACCTTTATACATTTGACAGGGATGGCCAAGTCGTCTATGGCGTCTTACTGCAGAGTTGTCTCCCTTAGGGGCGCCAGAATTGTGTGATCGTTGGTTCGTTTTATTAATGAGTCTTTGTATGTAACTTGTGTTCGAAGAGGTGCAAACTGAAAGTGAGGCACTCGTATACTATCATCTGAATAGGGATGATACTGTTTTCTCACTGTCAGGGTCAGCAGCATGTGCAATGTCAAAAGTCCTATATATTCACGACCCCCTCATTAAAGGAGCCTTTAAATATTGCCTATTTCTGAGAAACGTTAGCTTATCTATCTATAGACATACAATATTACGCCTTTCATTTAATGGTTAGCTTTCAGAAGAAACATCGACGAGACAAGATGCTGTATTCTGTAATTCCTTGTCTTGTAGATACAACGTGAACTACGGAGTCACTGGGTTGCTAGACTGGTTCCATGGGACTGATCTCAAGTTTCGTGCTGCGCCACAATTCGACAGACATAGAATGATATTCAGTGCCGGCGACATGAAGCTCCGTGAAGACAAGATGAAGTGACAGGGGTCAACGTCTAGCAGTAGCGACACGCTGCATTCAGACACTGTACAAAATACACCTGACTTGTTGTATTATACTTGTATATAGGAACAATACTCTACGACTGTGTGAAGGGTGGCACTTCGAGGGGACAAGACTCAACACTCGATCATGACTTTTGTCTAAGTGTTCGTTTATATTTTCCTGTTTTACTGAAACATGCTTTTAATGCATGTCGAGGCGCATTCAAGTATGTAGAGCCCTTGTTATGGCTCACATCATAATACAACGTACTCTTGAAATATATTTCACGGGTAGATTTATATACATGTATACAGATGTCCCGACATCGATGGGCACTGACCGTTTGTTTTGAGCTGACCATATATTAAAGGACAAAGCACTGTAGTGAATGTCTTCTCCTTCACAGATTGGTTGGGGCTGTGTGATCATGTATATCTCCTGGTCTCATAATATTGTCTAATGACAATAGCATTATCACAAACATATACCTCCCTTCTCATGACGGTGGTATTATCACAAACATATAACTCCCGTCTCATGACAGTAGTATTATCACAAACATATACCTCCCTTCTCATGACAGTAGTATTATCACAAACATATACCTCTCTTCTCATGACGGTGGTATTATCACAAACATATAACTCCCGTCTCATGACAGTAGTATTATCGACCCACACTGCTGGCAGTAGGACTGGGAGGCGGTGGGGACAGTAAATATTCCTGTCACACTCAATTAAAGCAGTAATGGGTGATAAGAATCTTTGCATGTGTTGTGAAATTCCAAAAAATTATCCCTCTGCAGATTTGTTTAGTCTCTGAAAATGAAGAAAGTCTCAGGGCTCCTTTTCATTATGTATATTTTTTTTTTACTATGAACTTTTTTTCAGTAAAATATGTTCATTTCAGAGACTAGTTGTTAGTCTATATATCCCCTTTCTCATGACAGTGGTATTATCACAAACATATAACTCCCTTCTGATGACGGTGGTATTATCGCAAACATATACCTCCCTTCTCATGACGGTGGTATTATCACAAACATATAACTCCCGTAACATGACAGTAGTATTATCACAAACATATACCTCCCTTCTCATGACGGTGGTATTATCACAAACATATACCTCCTTCTCATGACTCATGACAGACAGTAGTATTATCACAAACATATACCTCCCGTCTCATGACAGTAGTATTATCACAAACATATACTATAACTCGTCATGACAGTAGTATTATCACAAACATATACCTCCCTTCTCATGACAGTAGTATTATCACAAACATATAACTCCCGTCTCATGACAGTAGTATTATCACAAACATATACCTCCCGTCTCATGACAGTAGTATTATCACAAACATATAACTCCCTTCTCATGACAGTAGTATTATCACAAACATATACCTCCCGTATCATGACAGTAGTATTATCACAAACATATACCTCCATGACGGTGGTATCATGACAGTAGTATTATCACAAACATATAACTCCAAACGTATCATGACAGTAGTATTATCACAAACATATAACTCCGGTTCTAATGACGGTGGTATTATCGCAAACATATACCTCCCGTCTCATGACAGTAGTATTATCACAAACATATACCTCCCTTCTCATGACAGTAGTATTATCACAAACATATAACTCCCTTCTGATGACGGTGGTATTATCGCAAACATATACCTCCCTTCTCATGACGGTGGTATTATCACAAACATATACCTCCCTTCTCATGACAGTAGTATTATCACAAACATATAACTCCCGTCTCATGACAGTAGTATTATCACAAACATATACCTCCCTTCTCATGACGGTGGTATTATCACAAACATATAACCATATACCTTATCATGACAGTAGTATTATCACAAACATATACCTCCCGTCTCATGACAGTGGTATTATCACAAACATATAACTCCCCCTTATCATGACAGTAGTATTATCACAAACATATAACTCCCGTCTCATGACAGTAGTATTATCACAAACATATACCTCCCGTCTCATGACAGTAGTATTATCACAAACATATAACTCCCGTCTCATGACAGTAGTATTATCACAAACATATACCTCCCTTCTCATGACAGTAGTATTATCACAAACATATAACTCCCATATCATGACAGTAGTATTATCACAAACATATACCTCCCTTCTCATGACAGTAGTATTATCACAAACATATACCTCCCGTATCATGACAGTAGTATTATCACAAACATATACCTCCAGTATCATGACAGTAGTATTATCACAAACATATAACTCCCGTATCATGACAGTAGTATTATCACAAACATATAACTCCCTTCTAATGACGGTGGTATTATCGCAAACATATACCTCCCGTCTCATGACAGTAGTATTATCACAAACATATACCTCCCTTCTCATGACAGTAGTATTATCACAAACATATAACTCCCTTCTAATGACGGTGGTATTATCGCAAACATATAACTCCCTTCTCATGACAGTAGTATTATCGCAAACATATACCTCCCTTCTCATGACAGTAGTATTATCACAAACATATAACTCCCTTCTAATGACGGTGGTATTATCGCAAACATATACCTCCCTTCTCATGACGGTGGTATTATCGCAAACATATAACTCCTGTCTCATGACAGTAGTATTATCACAAACATATACCTCCCGTCTCATGACAGTAGTATTATCACAAACATATAACTCCTTCTCATGACAGTAGTATTATCGCAAACATATAACTCCTGTCTCATCATGAATAGTATTATCGTAAACATATACCTCCCTTCTCATGACAGTAGTATTATCGCAAACATATAACTCCCTTCTCATGACAGTAGTATTATCACAAACATATACCTCCCTTCTCATGACAGTAGTATTATCACAAACATATAACTCCTGTCTCATGACAGTAGTATTATCGCAAACATATAACTCCTGTCTCATCACAATAGTATTATCGTAAACATATACCTCCCTTCTCATGACGGTAGTATTATCGCAAACAATTAACTCCCTTCTCATGACAGTAGTATTATCACAAACATATACTCCCTTCTCATGACAGTAGTATTATCACAAACATATAACTCCTGTCTCATGACAGTATATATTATCACATGACGGTAGAAACACATACCTCCTGTATCATGACAGTAGTATTATCACAAAACATATACCTCCTTCTCATGACAGTAGTATTATCACAAACATATACCTCCCTTCTCATGACAGTAGTATTATCACAAACATATACCTCCCGTATCATGACAGTAGTATTATCACAAACATATACCTCCCTTCTCATGACAGTAGTATTATCACAAACATATACCTCCCTTCTCATGACAGTAGTATTATCACAAACATATACCTCCTGTCTCATGACAGTAGTATTATCACAAACATATACCTCCCTTCTCATGACAGTAGTATTATCACAAACATATACCTCCCTTCTCATGACAGTAGTATTATCACAAACATATACCTCCTTCTCATGACAGTAGTATTATCACAAACATATACCTCCCTTCTCATGACAGTAGTATTATCACAAACATATAACTCCCGTCTCATGACAGTAGTATTATCACAAACATATACCTCCCTTCTCATGACAGTAGTATTATCACAAACATATACCTCCCATATCATGACAGTAGTATTATCACAAACATATACCTCCCTTATCATGACAGTAGTATTATCACAAACATATAACTCCCTCATGACAGTATTAGTATTATCCTGACAGTCATGAACTCCCCTTCTCATGACAGTAGTATTATCACAAACATATACCTCCCGTATCATGACAGTAGTATTATCACAAACATATAACTCCCGTATCATGACAGTAGTATTATCACAAACATATAACTCCCGTATCATGACAGTTGTATTATCACAAAACATATACCTCCCGTATCATGACAGTAGTATTATCACAAAGATATAACTCCTGTATCATGACAGTAGTAATATCAAAACATATACCTCCCTTCTCATGACGGTGCACGTGGTAATGTCACAAACATATACCTCCCTTCTCATGACAGTACTATTATCACAAACATATATCTCCCTTCTCATGACAGTAGTATTATCGCAAACATATATCTCCTTCTCATGACGGTGGTATTATCACAAACATATAACTCCTTCTCATGACAGTAGTATTATCGCAAACATATATCTCCCTTCTCATGACAGTGGTATTATCACAAACATATACCTCCCTGTCTCATGACAGTAGTATTATCACAAACATATACCTCCTGTCTCATGACAGTAGTATTATCACAAACATATAACTCCTTCTCATGACAGTAGTATTATCACAAACATATACCTCCCTTCTCATGACAGTAGTATTATCACAAACATATACCTCCTGTCTCATGACAGTATTATTATCACAAACATATAACTCTCGTCTCATGATAGTAGTATTATCACAAACAGACATCCTCTCTCATGACAACAGTAATATCACAAACATATACATCCATTCTCATGACCGTAGTATTATCACAAAGATATTCCTCCCTTCTTATGACAGTATTATTATCACAAGCATATACCTCCCTTCTCATGACAGTAGTATTATCACAAACATACATCCTCTCAGATGACAACAGTAATATCACAAACATATACCTCCCTTCTCATGACAGTAATATTATCCCAAACATATCACTCCCGTCTCATGACAGTAGTATTATCACAAACATATACCTCCCGTCTCATGACAGTAGTATTATCACAAACATATACCTCCCGTCTCATGACAGTAGTAATATCACAAACATATACCTCCCTTCTGATGACAGTAGTATTATCACAAACATATACCTCCCGTATCATGACAGTAGTATTATCACAAACATATACCTCCCTTCTCATGACAATAGTATTATCACAAACATATACCTCCCTTCTCATGACGGTAGTAATATCACAAACATATACATCTCGTCTCATGACAGTAGTAATAACACAAGCATATAACTCCCTTCTCATGACAATAGCATTATCACAAAAAAAACATGTCTTCTCATGACAATAGCATTATCACAAACATATACCTCCCTTCTCATGACAATAGTTTTATCACAAACATATACCACCCGTCTCACGACAATAGTATTATCACAAACATATACCTCCCGTCTCAATATAGTAGTATTATCACAAACATATAACTCCCTTCTCATGACAATAGCATTATCACAAATATATACCCTCCTTCTCATGACAAAAGCATTTTCACAAACATATACCTCCTTCTCATGACAGTAGCAATATCACAAACATATAACTCCCTCTCTCATGACAATAGCATTATCACAAACATATAACTCCC